AGCGGCAGCGGCAGCGACCGTAGCCGTAGCAGTAGCTAGCAGTAGCAGCAGTATATAGGAGCAGTAGGAGAGCAGTAGCAGCAGCAGCAGCAGTGGCAGCAGTAGCAGCAGCAGCTGTGGTCTTTGTAGTATGCCACCGTCGTCGTCCTCGTGCTTCTTGTTGCAGGTGCGGTCATCGTTGCTGTTTTTCCTGTTGCAGTTTCTCCAGCAGATATTGTACTCATCGTCGTAGTAGCAGGAGCAACAGCAGCGGCGGCAGCTGGTGTGGCAGTGGTGGAAATGGTAGCCTGATGTAGCCCGTTATCAACACCTGAAGCCCCCACTGTAGGTCGTCCAAGGCTGCGGCCATGTTCCACATGTCCTCATCACCATCTTCGTTGGTCTCCCCTGAAACATCTAGTTCGGCCTTGGGCAGAAAGAGCTCCGGTTCCCTCGCACTTAGAACTGCTCGACTAAGATACCATGAAGAAATTTGTTGTGCTTGGGTTTCATGAATCGCTGCAGAGGAGTGTATGTTTCGACCGGCTGGACAGCTTACCATGCACACATGACGTCGCAACAAGCCCCTGAAGCAAAATTAGTGCTCCACCTCCGGTTCATCGGAGGCATCGAGGTGCATTGCCTTTTCGGAGCTGCCATCGCCCGCCACCTGCGAACTTGCTCGACAGCATTGGGCCAACGAAGAGCGGTGCCGGCCTTTCCAAGTAGGCAAACAACGTGTGCTTGGACCTGTGCAGCGGCTGGCGGTTGTTGCGACATGTTCCCTCGAAGTTGCATGCCAGAGCGGTGGCAGTGAGGTGGCACTTTTTCCTCGTATGGCCTCGATGTCAACAAGATGCAGAATTGCAGAGTCTGATGCGGCGAAGCTTCGCTGCGCAGCGTCTGCTCAGTCCTCATCCTCTACACGATCCAAGACGGGAATCCACTTGGAAGGAGCCCTCACTGGAATCTCATTGCCCGTTGACTTGTTGTACCGAACTTTCTTCACAATTTCGGAGCCATTTTTCAAGGTCTTCTTGTTGAAGCGAACGCCCAAGAGACCAGCAACCTCTTCCTCCTCATCGTAGTGCATGACCCAGGAGGAATGCATCGGAGCCTCGACCTGCACGCGTTGCCCGACTTCGTCTTCACGCTGAGGCCGCACATGTTTGATGCAGTAGTTGACGCCCAGGCAGAGGATCTTGTTCCATTTCGGGTAGATCCGGAGCACTTCCGTGACCTTCCCTTGATCCTTACCCTTCATGACTTGCACGGTGTCTCCAGGCATTACGTGCATCTTGTAGCGAACAGGCTTGTTGGTCTTCGGATTGACTCGTACCGCAAGCTGGCGGCCCTTGTAAATCGGTCGCATCCGACCCGCTCGGATCCTTCGCTTGTTCTTCGGTGAGCCTGCTGGGGTTGTCGGCCTTGCCGACCGAGCGTGCATGATCACGGCAGAGCTTTGCTCTTGCGACAGTAATGGCCGTGACCTTCGGGGGGCCCCCAGCAATGTCAGGGCCACGCCGGTCATTGCCAGAGCACTGATGCTGGCGACTGTGGGTCCCTTGACGGCTTGCGGCCCAGCAGAGGCGTGTGCAGGCCTGGGCGAGGTCTGCAGCGACGTTCTGGTGATGGGCGCTTCTGCATGGCCGGCTGACACGAAGCCGGGCCGAGTAGGACCAAGTAGGGAGAGCACGCCGCACAGGGCCACGAAGCCTGCTACAGCTGTTCCTGAGGCACCATGTCTCAAACGCAGCCCTCGTGACATCGACATGGCCGGAAAGCCCTACCCTCTTCTCTCAGAGCTGAAGGGCCGAGGCAAAATCACCGGCATGTTTTGCATGACATCATGCATTTCAGTGCACCTTGGCAAGCACACGACGACGAAGGCAAGCGTAGGAGCCGAGCCATTGCCAGCTGGCCACGTGAGCGAAGGATCTGCTGCCTCTCGGAGGCCAAAGCCTCGCAACCAGTTCGCAGGTGTGACTGGGAGGCATGCGTTTTTTGTGGCTGCAGCCTCTTCTGAACTCGAGATTTGCAGAGCACGGTCTTGGAGCTCCTATAAGCCAAATTTGTCGACAAATGCCCGACCAGCAGGCATGTCACTGGACTCGGCATCGCAGCATATGCTGACAGTGACAAAAGAGTCTTGACAGCTTTGACAGGCTGCTCTGTCCTGGTCCAACAGCTGAAACCTGGCAGTGACCGAGCCAGTAGGCACGTAGTAGGCTACAAAGCGACCGGGCTATGCTGCACACAACACATGCAGAGGCTGACGTCTCCGCCTGCGCCTTTCGCAGCTCCTTTGCTCAATTCAACAAATGCAAGCCTCAGCCTCACTGCAGCCTCTCCATCCTGCTGATCCCTATCGCTGTAGCTGTCTATGGCTTGTCACCACTCAGTTGTCATGCAGCCTCCTCCTCCCTGCGTTGCTGCTCCAGCTCCTCGCAGCGAAGGAGCAGCGGCCCTCATCTGTTGGCTTACGGCCTGCAATACCTACAGCCTGAGCATTCCCCGCCCATGCCATGTGCCTCTCTCTCCTGTAATTTGCTTTCGTCTAGAGTCTAGACTGAAGCATTCCAAGGCAAACTGTTTGAAGGGAATCGATTCGTGTCGGAGATTCGGACCGGTGGAAAGCTGGAGGTGATTGGACTTCCCGGCAGGTCGTGGGTTCAAGCTAACATGCATCCAGAACGCCTTGGTCACGAGTAGCCGAACGAAATGTACACCACTGCCAAAAACAAAGTCGAGGCTGGCCCCAGCAGAGCTCCTCGCGGTGCCTGAGCTCAAGGGGCCAACAAGAGTGTGAATGATTAGAGTTCAACTGGATGAAATCAAAAAAATAACTTGCCCTGCTCCTGAGGTTATGGGTAGATTGGCTCCTGAGTACTTGCGAGGTCTGTTGTCACGTCCCATCACTTGCTTGCCCCGGTTGGACCTTTGCAGCCTGGTTGCTTTTTCAACTCTGCTTCGTGTTGCTGTAGAGCCTGAAGCTGCGCATCGCGTTCGGCCTGGCTGCACAGAAACTCGAGCCGCGCGTGCGTGTCCTCTATGTTCAGAATGCGCAAAGCCACGCTAGCCGCTAGCCTCGCCACGCTGCCGACAACTCTCGACCTCCTTCCGCTGTGCTTCAAGGTGCGCCTGGTGCAGCCACAAGTAAGAATAGTGACTACAGCACCTCGGCTCGAAAGCCTGTCAAACAGCCTACATCGACAGAATTGCCCAGCAGCAGCACAGCAGCAGAACAGCATCAGCAACAGCAGCAGCTACAGCAACAGCAGCAGCAACAGGAACGGGAACGGGAAAGGCACGGCAACAGCAACAAGAACAACACCATCACCACCACCAGCCCCAGCCCCAGCCCCAGCACCAACACCTCCACCACCACAACCACAGCAACAACGACAACAACAACAACAGCAGCAACAACAGCAGCAGCAGCAGCGGCTGCTGCTACTGCTACTAACTACTGCTACAGTACCACCACCGGAACTACCACCACCAACAACACCACAACCAGGTTCACCAGCACACTAACACCACGACGACGAGGACTACTCCTGCTGCTATTGCTACTGCTACTGCTACTGCTACTGCTACTGCTACTGCTACTGCTGCTACTACTACTACTACTACTACTACTACTACTACTACTACTACTACTACTTTTTTGGCTCCCACTTGTCGGACTCTTGCGACTCCGCACGGCAGGCAACACGTCTCTCACGATTACACAGTACACCAGATCTCCCCCGTACTCTTACGACGACAAATCACTTTCAGATAGCCTGCTGACTAGAGATACGGGGTGTTCAGGTGTGCTGTGCCTGCGGGCTGAAGCTTCAGGTGCTCCAATCCTAGCGCAAGGCAGCTCAGTAATAAGACAGGTTCTACTCAGTTCGCACACTACTACTACTACTACTACTACTACTACTACTACTACTACTACTACTACTACTACTACTACGACTACTACGACTACTACGGCGACGACGACTACGACTACTACTGCAGAGCACCACCACCACCACGACTACTGCTACCACTGCTACTACAACTACGACAACTTCAACTGCTCCTCTGCTACTTACTCCTGCCGCTCCTGCTACTACCACCACCATTATCACTAACCCCAGCACAAACACAAACACTACCACTCTGACTGACTACGACGACTACTACAACTAAAATGAAAATACTTGTTGCAGATCTTTCAGATTTCAGACCCAACAACCTCATAAAATCCTTTCGCAGTCCATAACAATAACATGACCATGATCCTGCAAAAGATGCATGAATTGAAAAATGGCTTGGTCTCGTTGTCGCGGGGGACCGTGTTTGGAGGGTTGGGGGAAGACCTGCCCTTGCCCGTTTTGCAGTGTTCCTTTTGCATCGCATTTTGGCTGCGAGCTTGCGCGATATGTTGAAGTTTGCATTTAGTCATGGCGGCATGCCCTCCCGGCACGTTGACGCAACCATGTTCGACGAGTCGCCACTTAAGAGGCTGCTAGCATTGGCACCTTGCCTTACATGCCATGAGGCTCTTGCATTTCGGCCCTCTTGTTCGGACAATTCTTTTGCATTTAAAGATATTCTCGCAGTCCTGGCCGTTTTTGATAGCTTCAATTGGGCATATACACCCGAACATGTAAGCATGTTGGGTTGTCGGTGTTGGCACCGTCTCTGTGCATTAGCCGGGCTTAGCCCGATGTTTGTGTTGCAGTGCATTCGGTATGTAAATATGTACACATATGTAAAATGTAAAGAAGGAATTAGAAAACTATGAAACTTCGCACGAGATCCACTCAGCCAAAGAGCGCCCTTCATGTTTTGGTGCATACCAGTATGCTCGGGTATGTGTGAGAGGGGAAATGTTGCAGTACACATGCTTGTTCTTTGCGAGGCTTGGCCACTTCAACATGCTGGAGAAGTGAGAAGGCCACCTTTCCCAATTGCACGCTCGCGACAACTTTTTGCAACTGGCCTGCACCGACTCCACCAGGACGAAAACTCGACCAGAATCACTTAATGAGCACGAAGAACTGAAAGCCAGAACCGCTGTGAGGGAAGAACCAATTCGTCAAATTGGCAAACTCAGTAGAGCCCAGGATAGCCGAGCTCGCCTGCTGATCGGCGAGTTCCTCCTCCTCGGCAAACATTGATGACACAAGACATGGAAGCTTAGCGAACTGATGCTGGGTCATCTTTGTTGGCAGATCTCTGCGTTCACTGCTGAGGATCTGACACGCGTGCGGCGATCGCTCGCCGCTTTCTCCTCAGCTTCGTGCTGCTCCTGGCCTGGGCAGGGTAGCTCAGCACGTGCAGTGCCCTCCAAAGCCCTGCATCTCACTGCTGCGTGTACATGCGCGCGGTGAGCTTCATGTCTCCTGGTCGCCGTCGGCTGTTGGAAACGACTCGTGATTATCCGTCACATCTCAGACGCGGGCGTTGTCGCTGTAAGGCGTCACCTTGAGTCAGCTTGCGAAGCATGCACACAGCACAGAAAGCGGAAGCTGGCTGAGCTCTGCTGAGCAGCTTGCGCTCAGTCTGCAAGGCCTTATTGCCGCAGTGGCAAAGCACGAGTTTCTTTTGTGGGCCCGGCTTCAAAAAGGTGTCAGACCTGCCTGTTGTGCCATCTTCAGCTCTTCCTCTCGCTGTTTCTCCTGCCATGAATGGTAAAGCGATGGCCATGGCAATATGCCTTCGGCCAGCTGTATCTGCCTGCTCCCAGGCCGTTTAGGCCGCGCAAAACACCAAGATCCGGAAAGAATGTTCGGCGGAAGATCAGTGAATTCAGCCAGGCCTCTTCCAAACGCTGTCCTGTCACAAGAATCCCATTCTCGCAAACGGTCTTGTTGTAGCTGTGCTCGACCAACACTTAGCTCTGCTGGGAAATTGGGGAGCCGGCTAGCAGCTTCTTCCTGCTCAGCCTGCTCGGGACTCGGCGCCTTCTCGGCTTTGCAAGCTGGGCAAAGCTGGCCTCGAGCTGCTGGAGCTCTGCCTTGCGCCGATCGAGGTCCTCCTGTCTCTTCCTCGACTCCTCATGGCTCGTCATTGCCATTCGCGCACAGGCTAGCGACAACTGCTTTGCATCCAGTACTCATCCAGTTCTCTATATTCTATAGTTGGTGTCATGTGCTTCTCATGCCCTCAAACACACACATACAGACAGGTGCCATCACAAACCCTCACATGGCCAACACCAAATGACGTCGCCTTCGGCAGGCCTGAAACTTCGACTATATGTCGGCGAGCCGACATCGAACATAATGGAACGAACACTTACTACGGCTACCGTGAGAGAAGCTTTCAATCGACCCTCACATTGTCTTGGGATGTCTCACAAGCTGAGCTACGGCTGGGGGCAGGCATCATAGTAGGGGGGAGGGGAGGGGGTACCAGGGTAGAAAGCACGGCGACCTGCTCCTTGCCTCCCTGAGCCCGTGTCCTCCTCGTGTTGAGATGCCTGCAGCAATGCCTGCGCTTCCTCCAACCGGGGCAAACTTTTAAACAAAGAACTTGAGTCTGGTCTGGACTGATGCAGGGTTGCATTGATGTGGAGTGCACCCGTACGCATGCAGTGATGGAAGCTGCATTTGTCATTTGTCATTTGCATGACTCGCTTTGGCAGCATGTCGGAATACTTGTCGGAATGGTTTCAAGGGTTTTCCTTCCAACCAGAACGCTTCAGAGAAGGTGTACCTGCTCCTGGCGCTCCTTTGCGAGGCGTGCCGCTTGCTGCTCGATGCCATCCCTGTCAGCGAAACCAGCGAAGTGCTCAGAGGCAGCCAACAGCGAGTTCTGCGTCGCTGCAACCGAGGCTGGCACAACTCCGCACGCTTCCTTTGCAGCTCGGCCTGTCCACTCTGCCCTCGCCCCGTCTGCCAATTGCAGAAGCTCGCAGCTCCGAGGTTTCGACCGCATTCAAGCTTCCAGATGACGGATTCGCACGAATGCCCTCAAAATCTGTACAGGGCATCTCTTCGCCGCGAGTTTTCGCAGTGGCAACAGACTCGAAGCCGGTTCAAGGCCTTTGCTGGGGGTCAGTCAGTCAAACGAACGTGCGCTTGAACATGGCTCCATTGCATCCCACTCAAATAACCACGGGATGGTGCAGCAGCGTAGGAAGGAAAAACAGCTGCCACGCCCGTGAAGACGGGACGTAAACTCGTCAGCCGGCCGCATCCATCTCCGATGGTGTGCTGGGTGACTCCATGCTGGAGGGCGTTTCAGTTGTTGCCTCTTGGAGGCCTTCAGACGCTGGAGCCGGAGCCTCATCATCCTGCACTGCATTGCTGGTGTCTCCAGAACTCGGCTCAGAGCTGCAGAGGCGGTTCTACCATTTGGAAGCTCGGTAGGGAAGGTCTGGCAGTTCTGACACTTCCGACAACCAGACAGACAACCGTTGCCATAGAACGTCGCACATGTCACACACCTCTGTTCACACACCACCATACAGACACACGCATCCAACACTGTGCCTCTGCCAGGAGTTTGGACAACTCAAAGCGAACATCCTTGGGCTTCACCTCGTTCCGCTGGGCCACTTCGCTGCTTATCGCTTCCATGCCGAGTCTGCCGAGCGCAGCACCCAGCTATAGGAGTTGTCAAAGGTGAGCACCAACCTTCCATCCCTTGGCGCCGAGAAGCTGGAGCTCTCCTGACACCCAGACAGAGCCCCACTGCGGTTCTTAAAAACAAACCCACCACTACCATCTACTACCACTGGCCTCCTGCAGTCGTCTGGCTGGAAACACTTCTTCCACTGCCTCCTGCACCAATGCCCCGCCCTTACTCTTAACACACGGGCAGGCGTGCAGCATAGGCGCGACCCTTTCAGAAGCCAGCATGATAAAGGAATCTAAGTTCAAGCAATGCTTGAAGTGTGCGTTCTAGAGCCCGCCATGCAGCCAGAACGTGTCAGAGTGCGCGGGTGGTGGTACATCCAAAACACCGATATCGACATGGAGGCTCTCGCCCGTCGTTGAGCATGCTATCTATATTGCATGGCAGACCTGCCAGCCGGATTGGCACTAAATGTGGGCCAACTTTCCGAAGAAACTCCGACATAACTGTATGATGTGTTTTTGTGTCTTTCGCATCGCAACTTGAGATTGGGCAGCTTCTGCAAATCGCCTGGAGAATTGCAAGCAGTCACAGGAAAACAGCTCAGGTGCTATGCATCTCAGAATCTTCCGCCTTCACGTCGAACTCACACGGATGCAGTTAACCAAGCTGAGGAAAGCAGTGAATGGTGAGGGAGCGGATCCTTTTTATACAAATTAGATCAAGCCAGGCGCTCGATGGTGGTTTCACGATTTGTGTTGGCTTGCAAAGGGTGTTCGCTACGTTGCTGGTGCTTGCCACAGACGGCGTTGATCTAGATTGCGCATGGAAGGTGGCGAAGCAGGTCGCTGTTCTTCTCGTCCTTTAGCCGGAGTTGCGAACAGTCCGAAACGTCTCTACCGATCCAACGATGGACAACAACTGCAGGTGGGCCGTGTGCGCGCATGAGCCCACATCTTCTCGAACTACCCTTCAGAAGCTGGGATCTTGTCGTGGATAGGCCATTCTTATGGTATGCTGTCTTCTACATTGTCTTCTGCTCGCACGGAGTACTCGTGAAATCAACAAACCAGCCTCCTCCGACTCGAAGTGGCAGCCGAACAGAATGTCCAGACCTGGGCGGCTCAAGTCATCCCAGACAGGTCGAGATCTTTTTGGAGGCATATTCAATGAAACGGGGTGTGGGCCGTTGGCCACGGAAAGGCCGAAGGCCGCAATGTCGCCCTGCTGCAGATCAAGACTGCGCCTTAGGGCGGTTTTATTGCTTGGAGCTTCTGCGGGAACTGTCGGAACTCTGAGCTTCTCTGCTCTTCCGTCTGTCCGGCTTTGATGAAGAGTTCAGAACCTGCACGCGAGAAGTTCCCCAGTGCCAGTGGAAGTCGACCCATCTGCACTCATACCGCCAAATGTCGCAAGACTACTGCTCAACGTGAACCGAGCCTGATCCGCTACCTACTAGCGCGGCTCGTGCTGGCACGAAATCGGCATCAGCAGCACTTCCTGCAGCCAGCTCTGTTTTCTGCTGAGAAAGGCCGGGAAAAGCAGTCAGCTCTGAGCCTCCCAGGAACTCTGGCAAGTTCGACTCCTGGGCGTCCGGGTGCCAATGGCTCACCATTACGGGGCAACTTTCTACCAAGAGAGGAAAGGGGACATGCGATCCTACGAGCCTACAATTCTGAAGTCAATGGGCTGATGCGATGGGAAACAATGCAGCAGCGCAAGTCTGCATGGTCATGACAACCGCGCAGTAGCTGGACTGATATCAGTTGGCAGCACAGGCCAACGAGAGAAAAATAGAAATGCCGCCTCTACCACGAATCTGGACCTATCCGTGTCAGGCATGCTTTCAATGAAGAAAAGCTGGGCTGCTTCTGAGAAGGCACCAAGCTGGAGAGGCCACACAGAGTCGTCTAACACTTCCTGGGGTGCGCACGTCGATCAGCTGCTGCAGGCGTTCCTGCCACGTCCGGAGTACAAGGCATGGACGCGACATGTCTTTCTTTGTCTGGCTCATAAGTGCAGGCTGGGAGCCGGAGTCTGTGCCATCGGCACAACCTGGAGCTTCTTGACCTCTGAAGCACAGCTTCTCAGTTTCGCTGAGTTACCCCAGCGGGCTTATAAGGAAAGTGAAGAAATAAGTAAAGAGAGTTTTCACGACAAGAATGGCCCTCCTTCGGCACGTCGAACCAGAGAACAGAAGAACCGATCGCAGCATCAAGAGCGTTTGCATCAGTCATGTTGCTTATGTCGTCTTGACGGTGCATTTCCCCGGTGTAGCTCTTCTTTTCCCTGACCTCTTGCAAGTTTCACTGCTTATAGTCATAGGGTCTGCAACGGACACATTCATGACGTAGGGCCAACGTGCAAGAAAGCCTAACCTCCTGACCGAACGTGAGCAGTCACAGCTAAGCACAAGCGAGGCGAGGACTCAAGCGTGCTTGGAGACACAGCAGTGAGATACACTAGACTCGGTTGACACTGGGCTGAGCCTGAGACAGACAAAACTCCTTTCTTGCCAAGCCCTTCTCACTGTCACAGTGCGCCGGGGGGGGCGGGGACTTGGATTCGAACGCGGTCCTCGAGCGTTGCGACATTGGACCCTGAGACTCGGACCACCCTCTGCGGTAGCAAAGGCGTCAAGATCCGCAGGATGGCATGCATGGCCCATGGGGCATTCACCAGCAGGACAGACTCCATCACACCTTCTCAGAACAGTCTCTGGCCTCTCAAGCCCTTGTCCCTTGCTGAAGCGTTCCAAGCCGCCTGGATAGTGCTCATCCATCATGCTGGTAAGACGCCGCATGATCTTGGACTTGCTCCCATGCTTTCGCCAAGCCTTGACTCTTTTAGACAGATTGTGTACGTTACAAGGCAACGGAGTGAGGAGAGATGTATTTGGCTGCTTCTGTGCACCGCACATGCAAAGCATGCGTTTAGGCGGTGTAATTGAGGACTGATGTCTGTTGGCCTATTGGTGGGCGATGGACGGCTCGGCAAGGGCAACGGGGACGTCCTCCATAAGCGCTTCCAATGCAGACGAGGAACATTCAATAATCCATTTGGTGCAAACATGTCCTCGCAGCAATGCACAGGTGCAGAACTCCGCACAGTGTACACTTGTAGCACGCCCTTCCGCCTGGACAATCAGAAGGCCGGTTAGTTGCCCCGTTGCTCGAGCGAAGTCTTCGAGCTGCAGCAGCCGCCACTCACATCTGAGAGAGCGGCGCACAGTGATGCGCAGTACATCCAGGTAGGACCAAGCAAAGGCAAGCCGTCTTGTGACGAGTGGCAAATGCGTCTGGAATTGCAACATCTCGTCCTCAAGGGTCACTCACTCCCACAGTCGGCGCAGTGGGGCACATGGAGCACGGTCACATGGCATCCGTCCTCCGTGATAACTGAGAAAAGACCAACTGCATCTGCAATTCCTGCGCCACACTTCATCAGCTAAGGTACTGTGCAGCACTTTATAATAAGCACATGTACGTGAGCAGATTTCAAAGGCAGTTCGTCTAGGCGGGTCCCGCGGTCCTACACATCGAATGGCATAAGGCAAGCCCCGCTTGTCCACAGCCGCCCCGCCCTCACATTGTGGGAAGTGCTTGAGCACCTGTACTTGCGCGTGCAAGCTGGAGAGCCCCAATGTTTGGTTGCAGCGCTGACAGTTGGGTGCCGCACGGGTGGCCCGTGTGGAAAGTCGGAAAAACTGCCCGGTGCAGATTGCCGCCACAAGAAACACGCCCCGACACTTGCAGCCGTCGGAAACAGCAGAGACAATTCCTCTTCCATGCCTTGCCTTATTTTGGGCTCTTCCAGCAACTTCTTCCTTACCTGTTCACTGTCGCGACATGTTCTACATCATCCTTCGTGCAAACCAATCTCAGCGCGGCCTCACTCGCACCGCTCTGCTTCCGCCAGGCTGCAGTGTGCCCAATGGCCTTTGCGAGAAGGATGCTAAAAACATTGGTTGTGTTCGCATGTGTGCACGAGATATACGTAAAGTGAACGTAAACAAACACAACCACATCTCTCCCCGTGTGTGTGTGTGTGTGTCTGCACGTATGTGTAGAAGTAGTCACACACTCACTATCACATATATACAAATACTACATATCTATGTACAAACAAACGAACAAGCACGTGCACAAACAGACAGAGATACGCACATACACAAGCCATCACAAACACAAATGCAAACACACACGCATATATGCATGTTATGTATACATAATATATATATATATATGTATATATATATATATATTATGTATAGATGCATATGATTGGAAGCACATCCATCCATCCATCCAGGCATGGAGGCGTATGCACCCATCCATCAGTGCATGCATATGTGCATGCATTATGCATACGTACATGCACAGACAGACTGACTGTAATATGCACACATACACACGCCAACACTCTCTTGAGTCTGTACAGTAACTGGCTTTCGAACGGCGGCATGGCCTCTTTCGCACGTGCCACGTCGAAGTCGCAGCGAGCCAGGAAGGCCGCAGCTAAAAGCTCCGAGTCGAGAGCCAGCAGGTCCTCACACCAGTGATGTTATGTCATGAGGGACAGAAGCAGAGCTCTGTTCTATTCTGATCCTGATCCTGGGTCGTAGGGCTTCTCTAAATCCGAAGGCTTTCCCACAACAACGACCATTGGCTATGCCCATGATTGCAAATCCCGACCATGTCTCGGACGGCTACATGAACCTCTGCTAGGCAGATCTGCGGCCCCCACACCATCTGCTTCTGGAAGTGCCCGCAACTCCTGGATGTGGGAGCTTGCAATCATCGTTCGGCAAAGACTAAAGAGCCCCTCAAGCTTGGGGGCTTGGTCTCAAACCCTCTCCTGCAGGGCCGAAGCCACACGAGGATCAGCCCAGCGAATCTGGCCTGACTGCATTACACACGTCCCTGACAAGCAACTGACACTCATGATTCACCAGGTCCACTCGAAGCGCGAAGCGGACCTGCACTACTGGTAGGTCGCTCGTCAGCGGAGTCCGCCATCAGGATACGACAAAGATGATCTCAATCTGATTCACGTGCTTACAAGTCACCCACAAACTAAGTTTGTTGGTCTTGGCTATCTTTGAAGCCTGTTGTCTACTCCTGCTACATGATCATAACAGCAAGAAAGCCAAGAATGGCTGTGGAAGCATATGCATGCGGATCGACACTCGATCGGTACATTCATTCTGTTCATGATATCGGCTGTCCTGCCCTGCAGCACAAGGACGACAGGGCAAAGATTCTACGAGTGTCATGGCAGACCTCCTACGCAGCACCAGACAACGGAAAGTTGCTTTCGCTGGAGACTGACCAGTGCCTCTTGCAGAACTGCTTCTTCCGCGAGGCGAGACCTTCACACAGTCGTTCGAGCGATCAGGTTCACACCCTGGCCAGCTGGATGATTTTGAGGTCGCAGCCGTTCCTCTTCTGCTCGGGCCACCTCGTTCTTCGCAGACATCGCTCTCTCTGCAAAGCGCCGCTTTGTCAAGCCTCTTGGCGCTGCTCTTCTCGAAGCTGCTGCGATCGCATGGCCTGAGTGGTTACTATGAGGAACGTCAGAGCAGGACGAGACAGCTTTGACTATGTCTGCTCTGCAGATCTCTCAAGCAGCATTGCTCTGTGGAGAAGATTCCAAGAGTAGCACCGCATCGTCCCTTGCTGCTTCCAAGTCCTAGCAGGATGCAAAATATAGGCCCGGTAGCACAAAACAGAACATTGCGGGAGCTCTGACGGCCTCAAGCTCCCTCTTCCGGCGCTGGATCTCCTCGCGCTGCGCCTGAGACTCTGAGAAGGCACCAGCCGAACGCCCCGCAGCGCCGCAGCGACGCGCCGGCTCTGCCGGCTCCCCGCCTCGGCCTCTGCAGCACGCTTTTGGGCTTCCGCGGCGGCGGTCGCCAGGAAAACCTCCGCCGAACTGTCCCTAAACCCTCAGCACAGCCTTGGAACATAGCCACATAGCTCAAGGCATGCTTATATCATCAGGTCTGAAGATCTGAGCTTCTTCCACGCGGTTCTTTTGTGGCGCCTCTGACGCAATGGGTGAAACTGTCGGCTCAGTGCCACCAAACAGCCGGGCCCGGCCTCCTCAGAAAAGGCTCGCTTCCTACACAGTTTAATGACATACAGACTGGAATCAGAATTACTAGTCTTTGCTCGTGCCTTGCACATCCTTGCACGGAGGGTCCCCACCTTTTTGATTGCAATAGTTGCGTGTTGGATTCTGGGAACCCTTTTTCGGGCATATCGGATCGTGCCCTTGTGCAACATCTCGCTACTATGCACTCGCCCCATGTGCAAACCTTCGGCCCCGTCTCATATGCTCTTGACAGCTGGACACCGGCACAGCGCTGAGCGGCAAACCCGAGCCGACTCACAGATCTTCTCATGCGGCGGCTTTGCCATGCATTTCCCGGCAACCATGAGATCTGGAACCAAGCTTCGTCGACTCGTTAACTGTCTGGGCTTCCAGCGGAAAAGCGCTAATCGCAGCTGGGTGAGCCAGGATTCAAACAAGATGGTAATCACACTTACCGTTCTGATTTTTGCAGGCTCTGCCCAATTGCACATCCCTCCCGTCGTACCGCCTGTTGGCTGCAGCAGTCCGACGGGCACCAGGCTAAAGTCTAAAGGCCAAGGAAAACATTGCTCCACATTGGAGGGCCAGAGGCCCCAGAATTCTCAGGGCTCTCTGCCTCTGCCCTCATTCCACGTAGCGTCAGATCTTGGGGATGCAATTGACGAGGTCGAGATCCGTCTTTGCCGTGATACGGGCGATCTCGGTGAAAGCCCTCCGCGTGAGGCAGGAGACGCCTCTTTCAGGCTCCAGGCTCAGCACCAAATGTAACTCAGTGGTGAAGGTGGGAGTGGGAGGTTCTTGCACGGTATCTGCGTGCAGTTGAATTGAAAGTAATTACAGCTCATGATCGGCTATTGTGTAATCTACCGTCATTTGCAGATTGGGCAACTGAACTTCCAAGCATGGCAGGCAGTCCTGCGCCTGACGGAGAAGCTTCTTGAGGCCTGCATGATCTGCATGCTGCACTACGCGGCATTGAATTGCCGAAAGGTGCACGCAATGTGAGATTCTAAGACGCTTCCGCGCGAGGCATGAATCCAACAGAATGTGGCCCTGGTTTAAGAGGCCGGGCGGAAATAATCCTCCCTGCCTGCGAACATACCCGTCACTTCTCGCTTCAGGATCCTGGTCTCCAAGCTCAGAAGCTCGACGTCGGCCTCAGAAATACACTCAAATCTTGGCACTTCGTTTCCATTTTAGTTCTCGCAGGTCAGCAAAGTCATTGTGAGGCTCCAAAAGTGCACTGCCGTAGCAGACGCCATATGTGGATTAGACGGACCAGACAGCGCCAACCGGTGATATCGCACGGCTCTTGGTCAACTTCTTCGTGAAACGCTTTCTCACCGCGACTACTTGAGGCGGGGCCTCGCCTCTGACTGACTGAGACGGTGCAACGTAATACGCAGGTGCCCTTCTTGCTACGTCTTGCTCAAAAGTCAACAGAAAACCCGGTCCTCCATTGCATGCTTGACCCTCGTGCTGATCTGGCTGCTGCGGCTCTTTGGCCCCACTACTCGATTTCCGCTCTCCTTTCCGAGACCTCGCGCTGCGTCTCCGTGTTTTTTGCGAGCGGCATCTTCCTAGTCGTCGCGACTGCCTTCCCTAAAAGCCCCGACCGGCATGACACTTTTTGCCTCCCGCCTAGGACATCGCACCATAGTGGGTGCTCTCACATAAATTCTGAAAGAATCTCAACTGCTACAGTATGGCTCAGGAGAAGATACAGATTCACATGGATCGTCGCTTCTCGTCACGCAACGAAACCGAGGCTTTTGATCTCACACGGTCTTGGCTTTTGCATCGGGGGCAGTCTAGTGTTGCTTCTCGAATCTCCCAGAGGTGAGACATGACATGCACAGCTTCCACAGCGATACTGGGACTCCGTCTCGGGATGCAGAACCTTGGATGTTTATCGCGAAATCAAGACCGTGGTTTCGTGGACGCGAAAACCTAGAGACGCACCAATCCGAAAAGGAGCCTTTCATGTCCACAATCTTGTACACGAGCTCCTTGATGCTAAGCTCTTTCTTGTCACCTCAGATTCAGTCTCGAGTCTGAACATGGCATGTCCCGTGTCTCAAAGTGGGGCAGGACTCGACAGACCGTGTGCAAGACAGACGAATGCAAGCCGAGAAGCTGAGTGAAGCCAGTGTGGCGAAATACCTGCCGAGCAGTTGCATTGGCAAAGCACAAAGCACGCTGCTAAGTACACCTGCGGCGCCAAAAACCTCAGTCCGCTTCAAGTCCGAAACATGCACTGAATGGCTAGATCGCCGGCCTCTCTGGCATGCGCATGTCCACGCCTCAGACGGGCTCTGAGACACTGTCTCTCTCTCTGCTCACACTTCCGGACTCAATGCTTTGAACGGAACCCTGGCTTCACTCAAATGCAATCTGTCACCAGAAGCTGGCCTTGAAATCGCAAGTTTCTTTCATGCCCGAATGTACTCGATCTCTTCCGATCGTACTTGCACTTACGAAACCCTGTTTTTCACCCTCTTCGAAAGATAGCCAACAACCTCAGTTCGGCATAAGTGCTTTGGAAAAAGGTTTGTGTATGTTCCGATCTGGGTCACAGGTCACACCACCCAACCTGAGAACGCCTACTGCCAAGGCACCGATTGACCGAAGGGAGTATTCGATCCTTTGGCTTGTGAGTCAGCAAGCGTTCTCGACAGGAGCCATGTGACAAAGCATCAGGATGCCGTGCAGAGGGTCCTTTCGTTTTGCATCGCCGTGAGGAACTCGCGCACAGAGATGAAGCCAGACTTGTCCTGGCATCATTCAGCCAGGGCTTCATAGGAAACGATCCACTCATTTAGAAGACTCCTGGCACACCGCACGAATTTCTTGTTGCACATGTCACAAACATCTTTCGAACAGTGTTGAATCTGTGCTTACAGTGAAAACGAGATGGTGGCCATGAGCCGAGTGAGCTTCGAGCTCCGAAAAACTCTGGCTTGGTCCTTGTCAATCAGCTCCATAATTGCCTTGGGAAACACACCCATGTTGGAAACGAAGGGGAATCTGCCAAGCACAAGACGCTATCCGAGATGCCGTCAGGTATTCGACATCGCTACCTCACCGGCCGTTGTTTTGTTCCGGATGTTGGCAACATTCCGACTCTCAGCTGATTCGAGGACAAGTTCAATACTGTCTTGCCGTCTGTAAAGCACATAGACAGCAATGCAGCAAGAAGATGCACTGCGCAATGCATGCAAGCAACGAAGCTGTCTCATGTGCTCAAGCATGGCCTCCTGAACGCAGACGCAGAGAACCAAGCGCTGTGATCCGATGCAACGTCTCCGCTAACTTAGTCATCGCCCTGAGATCCTCGTCATCGGGCTTTGACAAGATAGATGCATGCTCAACAAAAACACCTGGCGCGGGCTTGCTTCTGCCGACTCACAAGGTACAAACGTCACGTGGCCTGCAAGGCTGCAGCACAAGCCGGACTTTGAACTGTTGCCTAAGGATTTCTAAGGGGAGCGCATCATGACGGATGTCCGAGCCCGCCTGTGATTATGTTCATCACAGCAAACCTGCCGGAACACACGCTTGCACCCGAAAAGAAAGCTCGATCCTCACATTTCCTGCACCCCATGCAAGTGCGGCGCTTCTCAAAGTAGGTGCGATCAAGCAGCATGAAAAACACCATGTAGAAAAGGAAGGCTGCGGCTGTATCCCAGCCGACTGGACTGATCAGTTTCCAAACCTCCATCGGAGCGCTGCCATGCTGCTCGAAGATCCCTATGTTTCTAAGTTGAAATTCTCCAGGGCTGAGGTTGACAAACCGATAAAGAAAGAGTTCTCTTCACGGGCATGCTCGGCTGCTTCACTACTCCTTGACTATTGTGAACGGAAGGTAGTGAGAGTTCGGCAATTCAGCACTTGGAGAAGACTATTCCAGAAATGCCTCCTCCCAGTCTTTGCCCCCTGTGGAAGCCATCCCCAAGACCTTGGCCCGACTACACAATTGTGTAGATTCCACATGCAAGGTCCACCGTCAACACAAGGCCACAAGTCCGGAAACAGCAGTTGGTTGCAGTGCAAGCAGCATGCATGGAGGAGAAGATTGTTCGGAAGTAGTAACGCTGGCAAGCCCACAGCTCGGAAGCGTCTTCAGGGCCACCAGGGCATTTGTCCGGCGCATCAACCGCCTCATTGGCGGCCAAGTAAGGAGCCATCTCCTCTCAAGCATTCGGCATAACAAGCGCTCGCGCAAGTCTCACTTGCGATGAGGGAGGGTCCGTATACTGCATACAAGACAGTGCAAACTCGTGCTGATAACAAATCCCTGTCTGGCCAAAGCCGTCCTGCATGAAGAAAAGGGCAAACAAGAAACTGATGAAAATCAGCATGACCTTGGATAGTACAGTTGCAAGACACTGGTACTCCATGTCTCGGACCTACTTCCCGCTCGCCATCACCCTGTGCATCAATTCGAGCACTGTGTTGACTGATTCGAGCGACTGAGTGTGCACTTCCTCATACATACGTTCAACTGCAGGACTTGCTGAATATGCTCATGCTGCCGCCAAGCACATAGAGCAATGTTGTCGAATAGTTCCAAATGTCTCGAGTCTGATATGGGTGCACGCAAGCTTCACCAGGGGGGACAAGTAGTACTCATGCCAAGTTTCGAAGGCCCAGAACAAGGACACAATGGAGCCCATCATGCAAATCAGCATAATTCTGACCTGCCGAAAACTTGCACGTGTGTGACACGGTGGGACACAAGCTTGGTTGCTGGAGCTGCAGGTGCGCCCGTCCGACCCTACACTGGCGTAACTTTGATGGCTAGGGCACTACAGCAGTCAGAGCTCAGAACTGGCATTCCCCACACGGAAACCTGTCACATGCCTCACGCAAGAATCTGAGCATTCGGATGACACCTTAGTTCTCATGAAGGCAACTGAAATTGGAGTATATACCCCTTGAGCGGATGCCAGAGGTGTCATGCTTTGAATCACTGCTAAAACGACTTTTGCCATGCAGCGCAAAATCTTCGCGACTCTGAGGACTCGTAGAGACCTGGAACCGTGTAATAGGAGTGTAATGCAGGGCATGACACGTCGCATGCAACAACACATTGTGCTCAACAATAGAACTTGCAATTGCACTCCCAGCCTGGCAAACGAAACGCCACCCACCGGCAGCGCAAGGCCAAGAACATCACAAGCGGATGTTGCACAAATCAAGAAGTCGAAGCAGTTCCAATGCCAATCCTTGCAGCTATGTGCTCAATGGCGAGCAGCTGAACGTGTAGCAGCGGATGAACGCAAACCTGCTACTGGCACCTTATGCAGCACTCGCCATTGGATTTACGGCAGACGCTTGGCAAAGGTAGGCCAATGCAGCTGGGACTTCATCAGAATCATCAGACAGAAGAAAGGCTGAGCTGAGAAACCAAGGGGCAGACGGACAAAAAGGGTAGGACGAGGGTAACGACACCGCAAACGATGGCAGGTGGACAGAGACTTCCAGACAGCCGTCAGTCGTCCCTACATGGGCCTTACACTGCGGTCTCTCCATGCGGAGGACCGTGCCTCGTTGACGAAGAAGTACAGGCGATGAACGAAGAGCTTCAAGACCAACCTGGTGGCAGCAGCCTACGTGGTCCTGAACCCACAGTTTTGTCTTCAATGACCTGCCAAAATGCGACAGGCCGAACGATGCGCGCACAACCATTATCGACAAGCGGTCTTTCGGGCAGCTGGCTCCAAGACAAACACAGCGAGAAACACCTTGGCATCGGGACGGCCATGGCAGGGTGGCACAGCCGTCGCATGACAACCCTCAATGCCGAGCAAGGTGCTGCCTCCACGGTTTGGTGATACTCATGCTCCTGGCCCAATGTCTCCATCTCATAATTGGCCTTTGCATGCGCTGCGATGGAAGCAGGATGCTTCAGCCGAGCGACGCCTATTTTCGATGAGACTCGAGACCGAAGCTCAAGAATTGCAACTAGTAGTAGCTGACGAAAGCGAGACGGCAAAGATGGGAAAGCCATGTCAAAGTCACACCTTTTCCACCTGCTGTTGACCACTGCCCCGTCAACTCAGCTGATTGCGTTGATTGCATGTCCCATGAAGGAGTGGCCTCACTCTGTGTGGACTGGGACTCGTTCGTGTGGGCAGGCTGTGGTAGTGCATGGGCGCCTTTGAACCCTTCCTTCCAAAACATGTGGGATCGGGCGTAAAGGTAAAACCGACACTCTTGCGCCACATGGGGGTCCTTCGAGTCTGGTCGGTGTGTGACCAACCAACTGCGATGGCCGTGTGATATGTATTCCCCATCCGGGGGACGTTTTAACTCAAGCCGATGATGTTCTTTCTTTCTGTTGGACATACGGGTCGTCTTTCGACCCTCAGGCCTTCGGCCGCCCGTCGACCCTCTATTTTTGGCTCCCACTTGTCAGCGTCGTCCAATAGGTAACATTACGGCCTCGTAGGATGAGGAGAAAGGGACCTTCAGCATAGTTCGAGCTCCTGGCTGACGTGAAACTGACGCTTGACAGGCTGATTTCCAGGGTCAGGTAAAGCATGGCAAAGCTATCACTTCAGACCAGGACTGTCAAGGTAGCAGAACCTGCCTATCCGTGAAACTTGTCGTCACGATTAATATGTAGAAGGCAAAGCGATAAAAGATTAAATCGTCTACCTCAATCCAGAACCCCAAGTGTGACTGAACCATAGAATCTACAGCCATAAAACGGCCATCCTCTATTCCTCATGACATGCCTCCCACTGTGGCGGACGTTGCCCAAGGTTACACAGGCCATGTGTGCCATGCACTTGCCTTGCTGCTCATGGTTCTGTCACTGCCATTGTGCCACTTGTCTGACAGGCAGGTAGATGGCCCCAGGAATGACATGCACTTGCAAAGTGCGCATCACTCGTTGCATGTGACCAGACCATAATGCCATTCAACATGCGAAGGAATTTACTATAACATGCAGGGGGCATGCCTCTGCATGCGGTCGCATTGTAGAGGACGTCAGCATACGTCAGCGGGGGCTTCCAGGTCGTCATTCAATGCGTGGACGACTTTGGGGTTTCAAGGCGCTCAGCAACAACTACCCAGCAAGCCCCGACCCAAGCTGAGAGCCCCCACCGTTTACACTCGGTGATTTCCCTCCCGCGCTCTGTCTGCATGTGTTTAAATTGCGTACTTTCTGTTGAAATGTCAGTTTAGCCAGAGTCACCGCATGGCAATGGCTGGAATTGCCATTGATGCATTTCTGACTTAGGGTCGGGAATTCGTTTAGTTCAGGCACCTTGAGGCCACAGTCCAGATCTCTCCGCCATCACAGCGATTTGGAACTGGTTGCACAAGCTGGGCCGCACACTGAATATGTGGTGTATGCGGTATTCGCCACAATAGCGCAGACCACAGCAGAGACCTTGCTGCTACAACCACTGCATCCCCTGTTCCGTTCCAGCAATCGCCTGATCACTTGCCACCAACTGGACCAAGCAACGAAGATCGGATCCTGGATGAACGCGGCCAGGCGGGAGGTCCGTTCCGGCTCCTCGAGGTTTGCGGCCCACGACAGCCTAGGGACAGCGCGAGCAGCCCCAGCACAAAGCATGGTTCCGAACAGTCCACACAGCTCAACTGGCACAGAGAAAGGCCACAGGAGAGTGTTTACGCTCTCACAACTCGGACTTAGCCAGGCGAGGTTCTGATACTTTGCATAGCCGGATTCTCACTTGTGCTAGTTCACCAAGGGAGAGGGTTTAGGAATTCAAGGCCAAGCGACGAGCTCACCAGTTGAGAGCTGAGTTTCTTCACGCGGCAAGCGACCCAAGAAGACATTATGGGCTGTGGCGCGGCTTCCTCGTTTGCTCCTGAGCTACGCAGGGCCGACACTTGGAGCATGATGGCTTTGACAAGGTCTCATGCGGAATTCGAGAAGGCAGCGCGGAAGTCCAAACCTCCAGCAGCTTGATGTTGGATCGAATTTGGGGCTGCTATTGTTCTGTTGACTGCCCAGATCTAACCGTGATGATACCACTTTCGTTCATAGTCTGTGCTGCACCATGCTGCCAGAGGTTCGGAGGAACCGTTTGTGTCGCAAGCGAGCATTGCGAGCTGTCCTCAGACCGTGCACGGATGCAGGAATCACCAGCATCACATCGTAAGCGCAGTTTAATCTCATCTGGCAAAGCGTCCAGGGGTTCAGAAATGCCTGAAAAGCGCCGCCGCTTTGAGAATGGCGCTGTTGCAGCTTCTGTTCCTGCAGGCAGCATACTCAATTCTCACACCTCGTTGAGAAGACTTTGCCATTCGGCCCCATCCCTGGGCTTGCATCTCTCTCGAGGTCCTGCTGCGCCACCGCGGCTCCAATGTCCTTCGACAAGGACCTGTTGGCGGTGTGGTTGCTCATCGATCCCTGCACAGAGGGCGATCAAAGCAGCAAAGGCTCATTTTCACTGATGCTAGACTCTGCTGGGAGCAAGGTCTTTACAAGTGCAAGTGGATGTGGGCCGATCTGGGCTGTTGGAATCATGATAGCCTGATAGTCGACACGGCAGCTGGGGTGGCAGTGAGGCTTGTCTTGATCTTGCGACTATGGACGTCCCGTATGCATCCCTTTCTAGACGGATTTCAGTGCAAAGCTCAAGCTTGTGCCTCGATGTTCAGGCTGAGATGCTCGACAACGGCATTGCTTTCTGCCTCGCCACACTTAAGACGCGATAGCACACGTACACGTACAGTAGGTGTTCATGCATGCAGACACCGTTGTATCTGCCGAGATGCAAAAGTAGAACGACTCGAGAGCGAGAGCAAGAGAGAGAGAGAGAGAGAGAGAGAGAGAGAGAGAGGGAGAGAGAGAGAGAGAGAGAGAGAGAGAGAGAGAGAGAGAGAGAGAGAGAGAGAGAGAGAGAGAGAGAGAGAGAGAGAGAGAGAGAGAGAGAGAGTGAGAGAGCGAGCGAGGGAAGCAGAGAGAGAGAGAGAGAGATAGAGAGTGAGAGAGCGAGCGAGGGAGGGAAGCAGAGAGAGAGAGAGAGAGTGAGGGACCACACAGACCTGTTGACGCCTGACAACACACAAAGCACAGGTTGCTGCAAAGCCTCCTTCGTCGAGTTTTCCCTTGGTTCAATTTCCACAAAGACATGGAGTGGAATACTGGAAAGAAGCTTCCGATGTCGCTACTCAGCACAGAGTTCGCATGCAATGCCAAGACTTCCAGCCCTTCATGAGATGTGTACTGTCGGACGGATTGGGCATCGAGCTGATATGGACTCGCCGCTCGTACAAATACAAACGTGTGTGTGTGTGTCATTTTTTCTGTATTATATGCACATGAAGACGTCTCACAATGCATCCATCCAGATACGACGTATTTACAAGCTGATCAACTCAGGTGGCCAAGGCTCGGTTCGGGCCCGGGTCCAATCGGCTCCTTCACTTCGAAGTCGCGGTTGAGCACCCAAGTCCCCTCGTACTTCGCCTCACGAGGTGGGAAAGGATCGGGACTTCGCGCTTCGCTTGCGGGGAAGTGGCACCTTGTCCTCCGCTTCCTGGTCCTTCTCTTTCGGGACCTTCGCAGGCTGGGCTTTCGGGACCCTCGCAATGCTCAAAGCCTCTTCTCAGACAAGTGGCCGGGTTATCAAGTGCCTCTCGATCGAAGCCTCGACACATCACCTCTTCGGCGCTGCTTGCACTCGATGTAGGGCACGCAAGGGGACATCAGACCCGACGACGGATTCTGAGGGCCCAACCTGGTCATGAGCCAGCTGATCAAAGAAGAGCTGCAGGCGCTCGTCTTGCTCTCGCAAGTGGTCCTGCAAAGCTCAAAGCTCGGGGCTTGTGCTCCGGATATCCGGATAGCATGCAGCCTGTCTGCAGCAAGCGCTGCATTTCACAAGCAATCATGCAGTCCTCGAGTGCTTGCCGGAACCTGGCAGTGTGGCGGACATGTTTTGGAACTCAAGTTGTCGAGCTGATACTGCGACCACACTGGCTCCAAGTAGCTCGTCGGAGAAGATTCCCCATGCATTTGTGACTGCCAGACCTCGCCACTGCATGTGTCCAGAAACCAGAGCGACAGAGCCTTCAAATGCCTTCAACACTGCGGCACGGCCAAAAGGCTGTCAACTCTGAGATGCTGCGATATGCTGCGATAGTATCCCCTACAGTATCTGTCTAGCATTGACACCCCCTTTTTCATATCAGCCGCAAGCACCATCTGAGATAAAGGACTTCCTTCACCGAGAATCTGACTTCATGGCTTTCCCGGAACTTTTGGCCAGGCGGCGTGGTGAGGTCACTTCAAGATGGCTCGGCTTAGCCATTGCTCCGATTCATGGACACAGCAGGGGTGATTCTGTCATCGTCGACTCATCTCAAGCCCCTTGGCTATGACTTATGACAAGTTGTGCATGCGTGGCCAACCGACTCAAGCGTCGTCAGAGTCAGAACAGGTCTAGTGCGGTCGGGCACAAGCATTCTGGGTGCAACTTGATCAGGAGTGGCTTCGGAGAACAGATGCCGTCTCTCACCTCTCGCCCTAAGACAAACCACTGCCGGGAAATCATGTTTCGGTCTCTGTAAACCGGAGGCTCTTGCTGGCAGCTGTGCCCCGCCTGTTCCTGTTCAAGGCGCCGCTCTTCGTCCTCTTTCTGCCTGCTTAACTGCGAAGTCATGCCATCCAAGGATTCTCGAGTCCTCTACCGGATTCGGCGTGAATTCGGCATTAACATCCGCATTTCAACAAATCCAACACGCTCCGACTACATGACTGTGAGGCCTCCTGGCCGAGTCTGTCTCTGCCTCGAGTGCCTCCAGCTCTTCGCCTTTGCATGCGCGTGCGAAAGGTGCCTCTGTGCTTCAACAACCACCCCCTCTCTGTGCTTTGCGACTCAGACACTCTATGCCGGCTTTTACGAAGATCTACGAAATGCAGCATGAGGAGAACTGTAATTAAATTGTTTTCAGCATCGAATAGCACTATCTAATTACAGTGGCAGGTTTTCGCAGCAGCAGCAGCAGCAGCAGCAGTCCCAGCAGCTCCACCACCAGCACCACCACTACCACTATCACCTGCAATCTCTTTTGTCTCGCAATGTGCGCTGGCGTTGGCCGAAGGATCGGTGGCATCTTTGTTGCAGTCGCTGCTTGCTTTTTTCTATGATGGTAATGGTGATGATGACGATGATGATGATGACGATGCGGGATATGGTGACGATGTTGTTGTTGCTGCCATTGTCGCAGTCCCAGGTGGGGTGGTTGTGGCTGTGGTTGCTGCTGCTGTCCTTCTTCTGGCTGCTGCTGTTGTTGCAGCACAGTGACCCTTGCCAAGCTATTTGCAAGGCGGTCATCGGCATGCTTGTGGCATTCATATTTGTCATTGATGTACTGAAGACGAAAGTGGGAACCGTTGCCGCCGTTGCCGGCACAGAACATGAGCACGCAACTCGACGCTCCTGGCCCGCCTATGTCTGCCTTTATCCAAGATTCTTGACTGCCTCAGGATTCCTTAACCGAATGCGTTACTGTGCTGTTGCCTGGCCTGGATCTGAGAACTGCAAACAAGATTTACTTCGGCCCCGGCCACGAACATTTCCCAGCCCGTGGATGCCCGTGGCTACTGTTGCGGCTGTCTCGGCTCTTGCACTCCTCCGATCTCTGAGAGCCGCTCGCTTTCGCTGGATCTCCGCTTCCGCTGACGCGGCTTCGGCAGCACGCTGTCGTCGTGCCTGCGGTGCAATGCCATACAGTATCATCAGATATCATACGTATATTCTCAGAATTTGTCAGGTGTTTCCCGCTTGCAGCTTCGTGGTTTGCGAGCTTGAAGCTCTGCAGCACCGAAGCTGCCTCCGCAGCCCGCTGAGCCTCGGCCTCTTCGTCCTGTTGCGAAATCAAAGCACATAGACACAGGTAGAGTCTCAGGTAGCAGAGTCTTTGGAACCGAACTCGGAGGGCCAACCTTGCTACTGGGCTTAGATTGTTGGAGTTGCTAGGTTGGGACAGGCTTGAGGACCAAAACACTTGATCGCACGCCTCGCGAAGTTTGTGCTGCTCTTCCAGCTTTCTGCGCAGGATCTCCTCTCTCTCGGCCTTGCGACGAAACAAAGAGACATTGGGAAGCAGGGACGTGGGGAGCATCCCCGAGCCTCCAAAGCTCGTAGCTCTTCGCGCTGCTGGCGAAGGGCCTTTGTGAACGACAGCCAGGGACATGGAGAGACGCATGTGCTCCCAATCCTCCCCCTCGACGTGCAAGCCCGAACAAGACTGGAGACCAGTCATCCTTGCTTGGATGTGCTGTTTGTGCTCCCAGTAGGTTACTGCGGCAATTCGTGACAGGTACATGTCAAGGCGTGGCTTGATCTGGGCAGCTTCGTTGCATGGGATTCGCAGATGCGTGTCTCATCGCCATGCTGTTGCTTTTGGCTTGGCGCTGCAATCCAGCCTAAACCCTAACCCTTTACTTGGTGCCTATAGTAGACATAGAAACAGGAGAGTCACGCTCACACTCACACACATACACGAACAAAATAACAGGGGCAAGTGTCAGCGACTCGATTTACAGGATGCTGCAATGCATGTGCCTCCTGCTGCTGCTCTGCCCATCTCTGTAGCTCTGCGGAGAAGCGCTGCTCCTTCCAGATCTGGCAATAGCATCCTCGTGGGAACGGCCTCTCGCCTTGGCATCGCGCAAGCTCCTCCTCCATCTTCTTCGCCAGTGCCTCTTCCCTCGCGGCCTGGTACAAGTACAGTACCAGGCAGTTCATCAAAAAAGGCTCGAACGATGACATGCGCCTCCACTGCTTGCAGCTCCTCACGCCGACGCTGTAGTTCGGCGCGCTGCTTCTCAGCCTAGCAGCCGCGACGCTCGATCGGGGCGGGCGGCTTGAAGTCACGCGCAATCTCTGCATCGAACAGCTGCGTATGCCGTTATGCGCCTCTGCCGCGAGGCGCTGCGTCTCCTGCTCCCCTTCCTGCGCACGCACAGGCCCAGTCCGGCGCATCGATTCGCAGAGCCAGAGACTTTGTCTGATGGAGCTCTGAAGTGAACTAGACTCTGCCGCGGGACCGGTTGGGAGTTCTCACTATCCAGCCGTCCTGCTTCCGACGCTGCATCTCTTGTTCTTCTCGCTGCGCCAACTCCTGCACACGATGAGCATCGAAGTATGCCCACTCCCGCCCTCAGCATATTCAGCATCACCACCTTCCTATTTCGAAAAGGTTGAATCACGTCACCCAGCTCCCGCAGCGGTCCTGACGTTCCTCCTCCAGCGCCTTTAACTCCTCGCGCTGCCGTCGTAGCTCCTCGACTGAGACATCAAGGACAAACATGTTCCGGAGGGGAGTTGCAGTAATTTGCAGTACGTTGCATTTCCTCTACTGCTTCCAGCGTGCCAAGCGTGCCTCCTGAACACGCTGCGACTCGCGCTCTGAATCTTCTCTGCGTTGTTGCTCCTGCAGGCAGGGTGCAGCATGGGATGCCGAAGGAAGATCCAGCTTCTTCGTCTCCTCCACCGAGCGCTTTGCTAACAGTGCTTGCTTCTCCTCCGGTGCATCGGTTGGGTAGGCTGTTGGCTCCCACATCGCGATGACAATATAGACAGCATACCACATGACGCATGACAGGTGCGGGCCCATTCCCAACAAACCGCACCACCAGCTTCCCCCATCTTACCTCTTCCATTCGCCGCAGTTCTTCCTTCTGCCTCTCTAGCTCCTCCCGTCTCTGTGCTGCTTGTGCCTGCGACGCCCCATCTTTCGAGGCTTCTTGCTGGAAGTGGAAGCGGTAGTACAGTCCCGAGGCCGTGCCTCCTGAGCGGCCTGTTGCTGCCGGAGCTCCTCGAACAAATCGGCGAGGCCACAACGATGCAGCCGTGCACCAATGCCACTTGCAGCCAAAGCGGTCCTCCCGCAGCTGTTCCAGCTGCACCTGGCACAAGCTTGGCCACGTCAGGCAGCAAGCCATGTCCACAGACCGAATGTGCCTTCTCCCGGTTAGCCTGCTCTTCTTGTCTCAACCGCTCTCGATCAAGCTCCTACAACTGTAGGGGCTTGGGACAGCTTTCCAACCCTGGCAGGAGTCCTCGCGTTGCGCTTCAAGCTCCGTCTTTCGCTTTGCTGCCTCCTCCTCCTCCTTCTGAAGCTGCGCCTCGCCGCAGCGCAGAACCAAGCAAAGTGGCACATTGCTCCAAAAAGGAGCCTTCTTGAGTTTCACGGGATCCTGCGATGGCAGGGCAGGAGGAGGGCGCACCTCGCACATGATGGACAAGTTTGCCACGCAACGAGGTGCTGCAGATGCGGCCGATCTTGATTGACGATCTGCTGCTAGAGCTAGTCAGCTAGTGACATGGCCAAGAGTCAAGAGCTCAGGTGTGCACCCAGCCAAGACGAGAAGTTCTGAAAACGAACTCACTACCGCTGGACCCGGCAGGCATTTCCAGCCGCACCTGGGAGGCGACCATGTTCGCAGATAAACAAGAGCTTAATAGCCAACTATGGAGTCTATAGTAGAGCAACAAGGGCCGAGTGCCCAGCATCGGTGTCACGGCGCGGTCCTCTCACGTCTTGCTTGGTGACCTTGCCACATCATATCATTGCATGCTCGCCTATCGTCCAGTCGCGCCGGTTCAATAAGACGTATGCTGATGGCCCATCACTTCGCAGACGAGCGGCTTCCATGACGATCTCGCCATCCTCCACCTCTCGTTTGGGGTTTGTAATCAATACGATTGGCGACCGGTGAAGCCGCAAGGAGCAGGCCTCGTAGTTGCCTTCACACCGCCACGGCGGCTGACCGCCCTCGAAGAAGTTCAGCTGCGGAATGCACTCCAAGGTACATCTGGCAAGGCATTCAGCTGCAGCTCATTACTCCTCACGTTACTCGCAGCCTCACTCTTTGCTGCATCCTGCTGCGCCCACCTACGAGTGTCGTAAAGGACAAACTCGTACGTGACCTCAGCTGCGAGCGTCCAGGTCCAGCAGCTGCACCCTGTGCTCACTATCAGACAGAATCCTACAAATTCCATCTCTTGGAAAGTGTAGGGTGTCGACGTCACAAGGAAGCAGAGCAGAAGATGTCACAGAATCACCCGATCACATGCAGTCAAGGTGCGTGGTCTCCAGGACAGGTCACATCTCTGGCAGACCCGATGTATATTCCCAACTTGGGGGCTTCATCCATGCCACACACAGCTGGCAATGTGTGGCCCGTCGTTCAGGGGTGGCTCAAGATGGGTAACGAGGGCTTCTGCAATGGCAAAACGTGGAATCCACGATCTTGGCTGAGAAGTCTGTACAGTACCACATGAGCAGGTCTCATGAGATCTTCCGGATGTCTCTTGAGTCTTGAACACGAAGCAGCTGCCAGCGCGACATGGCTAAATCCTCGCTTGATACCACATCGTGTAATCTCAGGCTCAAATGGAAAAACAGGTGCAAGCCTTGGACCGGACAATCATAGAAGTCTAAGTCTGTAATTCTTCGCGAAGCTAAAAAGGTGCAAAGTGCCCAATGATCACCCGAAAGCAACAATTCCCAGTCTTCCTGCCCGTCTTGACAGACCCAACGCACATCCACGGCTCCAGGCTTCCCTGAATCGGCATTCGTTGGACATCCGTATTTGCACATTTCTTTTTTGCCGCTCACCCGGCAAGATTGCATTGCCAGCCTGTTCTGGCGCAGCTGTTGTTCAAAAAAAGGCCTCCGAAGCCAAGTACAGGAAGGCAGTCTCCATTGATGTACTGCAATCCATACACCCTACATCAAGTTCACACCCCACGCTTCACAAAGCAGTCTGGCTCACTCAAACCTCACCAGGTCCTGGTGCAGGAGCCTCGATGACCTTCCACAAAACACGTTAGGCACACTCTCAGTCTGAAGCTATGACTAGACAAGACGAGGATGGCTCACCAACTGTCCACCAAGAATAGACGCTGTATGACCGTGTAACTCGAGCGACGAGTGCACGCGACAGCGCGGTCTCATGCAAGCAGATATAGGTTATTACAATTGGAACTGGGCTCCTCTTCAACGCTAAAGCCTGAGCCACGTCTGAGACTCCGCCCTAGAGGCTCAGAGGCACCTCCCAGAGGGCGTAGCCGTTGGTGTTCACGTTCCTTATGTGCCGGCATGTGTGGCCACTGTGAAACATGCCTACATCCATCCGACCCGTTCTGCCAGATAGCGCATAGTTCACGGAGTCAAACTTCACCGTGACTGGGTACTTCACCTCCGGCTTCTGGTTGACATTCCTGAACTAAGAGCCAGACTAAGCCCAACATCTGCCGGATCTGCTGATCTCTCATGTACATTCATGTACACTCTCAACGGTCGCAAAACTTGGCTGGCAGGAGGAAAGTTGAGTGCAACTGAGCATCACCACCTGCCCCCTCTGCTGGAACCAATAGGACTCAGGCCGCAGGATCTTCACCCAGGACCCCTTCCTGGTGTGTCACGAGTCGGAGCCGTGCACACGCAGAGCGGTAGGAGGTATATCTCAGGCGAGGCACTTGGGGCCAACCCAGGGTCCCTTGGCCTTCTTCTTCGGGGCCTTCTTCACCTGAAGCAACTCAAGCTATCTCAAGCTCGTCGAAATGCGGCAGTGCTCTTGAACCTGCCTCTGCGCGCAGCGCCGTCCGCGGCTGGGCCGAAGCGGATGAGATGGCTGTGCCGACGAAGCTGCGAGGTGTGCACCACGCCAGCGCACAGGCCGCTGCCAGGAAGAGGACCTTGGGCAGGAGAGACGGAAGGAGATTCCAAGCTGCAACAGCAGGAAAGTTAAAACTTCTAAATCTCTGCCAGGCGGCGGAGAAGGCACGAGCCATGGTTCGGACAGCAGGTCTTGGGCCAACGACACTTCGCCATCATCGTGTTAGGAGCCTGCTCTCTTCCGTGTGTCGCTAGAGGCTCAAAACCAACTTCTGTGCAGACATTCGATGCACAGTTGCCAGAGGTGCATCGCTCGACACAAACCACCAGACTTATCAACCCTTTCATCAGAACGTGACTTTGCAATCACTTCGCTTTTTCAGATCTTACAGTATCACATTCTAGACATCTGTACGACTTTTTCCGTCAGTTGCACATGGACATATAGTCCCCCTGCTGTACATGGCCCAAGCTGATATGCATCAGCGAATTGAAAGTGGAGGGGGCGACCGACAAAAGCATCGACTGGACAGTAGGGCTTGGCTTCGCCCCTGTACTCAAGCTGCATTACGCATAATTGCGCAAGCGGGAAGTTTGGCCCACCCCTGGATTCATGCAGTTTGTGGGATCAATCCTACACCATCTTTGTTGGGTGTCATGGGGCGCGGCATACTCAGTGCCATGTCCATGTTCTGCTGGGAGCTTGCCACCACTACCTGACCAAACCGCACATGCTCACTTTGCATGATTTGCATGTATTGCCTTGCATCTACTTCCGCCAAGGTTCTGTCAATAAACTTCTTGATCTTCTTTTTCACGACCTCAGCGACCAGAAAAAGGAAATAAGCTGCTAAGACCTGGTTGCATGCTGCAACGACACACCGAGCTCCACACCTCTGCATCCACGTCATTCCGCAGAACCAGGCTCTCGTGGAACACATTACATCCGAAATGAGAGCAAAGGCAGCGCATTTCTATCCCCCAATCCTCCGGCAGTTCCAGGATCTTGTCGAAATTCCTGGGGAGACCATGGTCTGGACCCAAGCCCTTGCGAAGAAAACCTATAGATGTTAAGCCTCGAATCCCTTAGAACGGAACAATCACGGATGCAGCAGGCACGGGGCGTAGTCAGCCGGTCAGGGTGAAACGCTGTACTTCGACCCCTTCTGCGTTCAGTATCACCGCCACGAGAGCAAGACAACTAGACTCGCCATCATCATCATCATCATCATCATCATCATCATCATCATCACCGTTATCTTCTTCTTCATCATCATTGATCGTCGTCGTCATCTGTTCACAATGATGCTAGGTTAAGATATTGACCAAAATGCTGATCGTGATGAAGCGAGAGAGCGAGGGAGAGGTAGATGAACAAGAAGGAGACTTGAGACTGCGCCGATGTGCTGGGGCTTCCTCTTGCCTGTTCGTGCCGGAGAAGAACTCGGAATCACAGAAAGCCCCAGAATCAACAACGATTCCTTTCAAGTTTGACAACTCTTGGTGTGCTTCAAGAAACAAGGGGCGGGGGCTTCGGGCTTTCGCAATGAGATTTGTCCAAAGATTTCGCGGGTCTGGCTCGAGAAGCTAGAAATCTCAGCAAGATGCCGGGTATAGGGCTTGAGGAGACGAGCTACTCATTAACCTTCACATGCACGAATAAATGTCTGCTCGGGCACTTAGGCATCGCATAGTCGATGATCAGACCTTGCCGACCGGTGCCAACTGCCATGGTTCGAATGGATGGCTGAACCGCGAAGCGGAATAGCATCACCCGCGATGACTCAAAAGCCTTTGCTTGCAAAAGGCGGCCACTTCAACGCCCTTGCAGGAGCTCTGAGTCTTTCATGCAAAGTGAACTTGAAAGCCCCGCCAATTCTCCAAGGTGCATCGCGGCAAACGTAGCTCTTGGCCTGGCCTGTCCAAGAGCTTCCGACCGAGTCGTCTGCAGTGCCGCATCGCAACTCCCACCTTCAGGCAGTGAGGCGAGGAAGCTGTCCAGCAGCGCCTCCCAAGATGCTCTCGGGGCGAATGTCATGCTTGCGCAGAGCTTTCTTTGGCTGGGGTCGGGGTCTGCTCTTCGCCTCTCAAACCCACGGGCCTAGGGGATCTCCCCGCACAGAGGCCTTGGAGCCCAGGGAAGCCGCACCCCCCCGGAGATGCGCCTCCAGGCGCTTCAGCTCACCACCGCCAAACCTGGAGACTCGGCTCGGCTGGGGCCCAAAGCGACAGGACGATTCTTTCAAATATCATCGTCAGGGAAGGGCACTGGTCGTTGCCCTGTGCCTTGTCATGGAGTGCTCTGGGGTCTGGGTTTCCGCCGACTAAAGCAGGCACGGGGCTCTGTCATTTCCATGATGACGTGATGGTCATAGTCTCGTCCCTGCTGCATCAGCTGCGTTGGCAAGGACTCGGGGAAGAGCGGATTCAGGTACCACAGGACCTTGTCCTCAGCTTTGCGAGCTCTATGCCCATGGCAGGACGGAGTTTTGGCGCCTCTGTGCTGGCCGAGTATCCGCCACAATGTTAACACAAGGAATCGGCAATGCCTCGAATTTCAGCTTGAAGTTCCACAAGCCCGATAAGTTCATCATCCCAAGAAGCTCGATGAGCTTGATTAAGACACGTCCGCCGCGATCACAACAGTCAAACTGGGCACGCCCCATATATTCGAACTGTTTTGGCAAGCAGTCTGGGGAGCTGAGGGCCACTTTTCGTTTGAGCAGATTGGCAGTCGCGAAGTCTTTGCAGGAAACCCAAACGAACTTGCTTTGACGAGGCAACGGGAAAGTGTCATGAACTGTCGCCAGTATGAGCACTTTGCCCTCGGATCGGTTGCAGTCTTCACCCGCGAGGTCTGAGCAGTACCTCGATGCTTTCTCATCGAAGGTGGTGACGTGGACTGGGTAGTTCGGCCACGAGGCTGCTAATTGACATGTCGGGTCAACGTCGCCCTCCGCAAGCTCTCCAGCACCGTCTAGAAACGGCACGATGTCCTGGTTTGGCGGAGGCTTCAGACCTAGCGTGTTGACAACCTCCACCTCACCCTGTTTCGTGACACGGCAGTATAGAGCCCGATCTGTGTAGGCTGGCCCCTTGTGGACCTGTGTGCCGCCGCTGCCGAAGGCGATACCAGCTGCTACCGAAGGGTTCAGGAAGATGGAGCCAAGCACCGAATGGGAATCGCGATTCAACGGCTTTAGTGCTTCCTGCAGGCTGAAGATTCCAGCGCCAGCAAAGCACAGCACGTGCTCTCCAGCACCGATGGGGAGGATCTTATGCAGTCGTCTCATGTTAATGACCACAAACGGCCTATCACATCCAGAGTCACGGGGAACGGACCCACCCGTCAATCCGGTCTTTGCCCCTTGAGGGGTGATAGCAGTGTCTGCTGCAACGCAAGCACGGAGAACCTGGACGGCTTCATCCAGAGTGCCAGGTCTGACGACTGCCAGAGCAAGGCCTCTCCCCACCATAGTCCCCGTCTCCTCTGAATGCTCCACAACGTTGCTCTGGCCAACCTAGCACAAAAGCAGGTGTCGATACAGCGCTGATCTGACTGTCAAATTCAATGTTGGTTGGCGCTGTCCAATCGAAGCCACTTTGTCATGATCCGAATTAACACGAAGCAAACACTGTAACACATGCGTGATGTCATGCAGGCAAGCCGCAATGGTGCGGAGATTCTGGGCCAAAGACCGCTGAGCAGGAGTTAAAGCCTGTCGGCCCGACATGCTTGCAGGGGTAACGGAAGCGACTGTTGTTCTCTCCCCGCAAGCCTGGTCGCAACACGTGCGGAAGCCAGAGCCAGGCAATGCCCTCTCCCGCAGCCTGACTATCACCGTGCGAAAATCGCTTCAAAGCAGCACGGCACTACTGCTTCTTGACGTCTAGAGTCTATAATATAAAGACCATTCGAAGCTTCGGCGCTGCCCCTCCTTCTAAGACTCACGGCCTGGTTTCCTGCTCCGGCCTCGCATCTGCAAAGGTCAGGGACAGGCCGATGCCAAATCCGAGCGCTCCGGCAGCTGCCACAGCCCCAGAACCATAACTCCTACCGCATGACTACCGATGTCTCTGAACCGACCGACAAGGAAGGCACTTTAAGCATTCTGTGGCAACGGATTGGGCACGGCGTATTCGTGTTCTTCTTCTGCTGCTTCTGTCCTCTCACCAGATACAGCCGCCCTGGGCGCCCATCGCAGAAAATGAGCAACTCGGGATGGTCTCATGGCTCACACTTGGGGCGCAGCATCTAGCCACAGCATCAAAGACATGTGATCGGGTTGCTGTGCACCTGAGATTTTCGTAGTATTGACGATCGTCGGTAGTGACTACCGTTACTGAAGCCGATGAGAAGGTTGCACGATTCATCCAATGCGTTGTCTTCGTCTACATTGAAACCTTCCAGATTCCAACAGCCAAAGCAGAGAATCTTGCCTCCCTGCCCGTCGCCGCGACGCTCCGTCGCACATCTCAGGCATTGCTTCCATGCCGAACCAAAAACGACATATTTTCTCGCGTCTCACTCGCAGCTTGGCGCTTCGTTCGACTCTCTGCATCCGAATGTCTTTGGTGCCTGCCAGCATGAGACCAAACGAAGACTTGACATACACGCGGGTTCACGCAGTTCGCTCAAGATGTGAACCGTGTCGTAATTCCAAGGGTGGGTGCTGGTAGACTAGCTACAAAACCAAGTGTTGACAAGGCGCGTCAAACCTCCAACAGTCCTCCAATCATGCCCAACCTCCGAAGTGGACTCAGAACTTGCTTTGATCTCCAGCCAGATGGCCGGCATGGCCTCCTCCAGCAGCTCAATGCCGCAGCCTTGAGCCGCTGTAATATTGGTGGTGTTACCATGAAAGCCCGGCACGAGACGATCGTGGCGAGCAGCGCCTGCGTCTGAGTCTGCAGGCTGATTGCCAGTCATGCAATGCAGATGTTACTTTTTTAACTTTAACCCTTCTGTAAAGTTGACAGCTGTCGGGTACAGTAACAGCTGTTCAACGCGCATGCAAGCGAGGCTGTCGCAAGCTCTACATACAGGCACCTCATAGAAGATCTCATCCACCCCTTCGCTGAAAAGCGCGTCTGCCTGTTTCCGGCTTTGATCTCTTGGAATGCAGCAACGGGGAGCGCCCGAGCCCGGCCTGATAGAGGGAGGCCGCCCAAGAACCACTTGCAGAAAGGCCGCTGATCGATAGAAGATCGGGCTGCAGCGAGACCTCCACACTCTACACTCTGTGTCGCCACTCGCATGTCCCGCAATCTTTCTCGTGCAGATCCCACTCGAAGATTCAGTTTCGAGGACATAAAAAGCACTTTTCGACGAGCATGAACTACTTTCGCTCCCACCCACCATCGACTTCTATCTAGAGTACACGCCACAGCAAGCTGGGAAACTCTTGCAAGGACCCTTTCACCAAGGACTGTTTCCGCTTGGCATCCATACCAGCACGTTGTCAAACAGCAGCAAGTTAGGGCACCTGGAACAGGCTGGAGAAGAAGCACGCCGCTTGCTCCCAGGACGGCGGATTCTTCGCGAAGCCCTTGGTGTGTCGTGTCGTCACAGAGCAGCTGCCCTTCTCGCAATCCCCGAACACGCAAGCACTTCAAACACAGTCGCGAATGGCGCTCTTTCTGGATCACGCGACACTCAGTTCTAATCGTTAAAGGTTCTTGGTGCCGGTGCCGGTATGTTTGAAAGTTGGATGCTTGCAACTCTCAACGATGCCTGCAAGCGCCGTCAAGCTGTACAAAGGGGCGCAGGTCGTGGCTCTTGCAACGAACCTGCGATAACATGCTTCTACCGCCCAATCCCGGCAGCCAATGAAAGCTTGCTGTTCCGATGGATCTGCCTCTTTGGATTGGGTCTTTCCAGGGAGCCAGCTCTCACTGCTTCAATGTGTTCGGATGTTCGCTGTAGCCACCTTTGCCCTTCTCTGTGCCGAGTTGAGGAAGACGTGTAGAGCCCAACAATGATGGGTAAGGCGACATCTTTGGTTCGTGGCTCCCCTCTGTCTCGAGGATGGCCAATGCCTGCTGAAGCTTCTGCCGCTCTGCAGCGGACAGGTCAGACACAACACCAGCGACATCGGCGTCCGTTGCTGCCTGCACATGGGTAGTGGGCAGCGCTTGGACAGAAGCCCCAGAGCCCATCTTCTTTAGCGGTTTTGGAAAGTCTAGCACCACTTCGTCGCTTGAGCAAAACACTGCAGGCCAGTGACTCAGTGCATAGGTCAACTCGGCAAAACATGTGACCAGTTGCAGCCACCGTCACGTTCAGGACGGCATTGGCCGTCGGCAAATTCCTCGGAAAGCTGCCAGTCAGTCTCAGTCGGATCACTTGTCCTGGTTTCTGTCAAAGCAAATATGGGCACAAAAGCTTCTGTTCCTGAAAGCGTCATGGTGACCCCACTTACCAGTGCCAACGCCCGTGGCCAAATCCTCAGGCGAATGTTATGCTCTGCATAACCGGCGCAGTTTCAGGCAGATGACCCTCAACTGGACTTTACTGCGGTCAGCATGCCCTGTGCGACCGCAGGAATCTGCAGCCGCGCCAAGCATCACCTCAAAGCAGAACCCTGCGCTGAACCGGCAGAGGGCCGTTTAAAATCCGCAGGTGCTGGCTGAAGAAAAAGCAGAACTACTCTGCCTGTTTGTACGATTTTCTGCCAGCCTCTTGGCAGATTGATTTATTTGATAACATTATATAACAGTACTATGCGATTGCGTATCGCATCGACGTGACTTCCCGTAGCATAGCTCAAGCTGCGTGGCCTGAAAAGCCTACATTGCAACCTGCCTTGTCGACACTAAGGCCTGCCGCCAGGGATTCTTGGAGTGTGTGGCATGCCACGCGCCACCTGAACAGATCGGGACTGTCAGCTTGCCACAGAACCCTAGACATAGCTCCCGAGGTCGAAAGCTCGAGAAGTCTGGCCTTTCAGCCTTGGCTTGGCCACTCAAGATGGCAGTGGCCAGGACTTCATCAGTCTCCACAACCTGCAACGCCAGACAGTGGCATGTTTCTACCTGATGCCACCCGCCACCCTTGTCTCATGGTTCGTGCTTGTTACTGCTTGTTTGAATGGCTTCTTGAAGACAGCAGGCACATCTCATGACTCTATCGTCGCGCGCGCCTGCTCACGCATCAATAAAAGGAGCTCACAAGTTAGATGACTCTGCTCCGCATGCTCAGAACCTGGGACTGAGAGAACAGCAGGAAGTGCTGCAAGAAAGCCTGGTTTTACAGATTCCTCTGTTCACGAGGCCACCCCGTGTTTCTGCTGGGCAACACGGCAGCGAGTCCACAACGGCTGCGAATGAAACACAATCCTCAGTCATGCACTTCGAAGTGAAGTGCTTCGCTTGCCACATCTCTCAGTTCGGCAGTACTGTATGAAGCGAAGACTCGGCCGCTAGCCGCTGCAGCTCCATGCACTGTAAGCAAACCTTTGCTGCCCTAGGCACCCTACACTCGCTGAGTTCACTATTCCAGCACGGCATTTCGTGGCCGAGGTCTGGAAAACAGCTGGGCTCCCTGTTGCGATTTCTCGAGGCTTTCTTGCTGTCTGCAGGGCTTAGGGGATTTCCCGAGGCTCTCTCCGTCTCTCTTTCTCTCTCTCGCTCTCTCGGCCGTTGCATCCAGGGTCTAGCAGCTAGCAGCAGCCCCAGGCAACGAATAAGGTTCAGCCCCTTAGGCGCCTCATGAAACAGTGAGCCGCCTCTCAAGCATCAGACCGTGCCGACATATGCCAGGCACATACCTCTGCGTTGACTTTCGCAGCCCCGCACTACACAGACAAGAAACTTCCACCACCACTCCTTGTGGTAGCTGTTTGTCCGCAGAAGCGAGAAGCATAAGCAATTTCGGTTTGCACTGGATCATACTGGGCCGCAGCCAACAATCCTTGCCTTCTTGCCTGACTGGGCTGTTCTGCTTGTGACCCCGAAACACATCGAATCAGACGGAACGGAGCTCTTTTTGACTGACATGGCGTCAACTCTCCTTGCCACGATTCTACGGAATCGTGGGAGTGCGGGGCACCAATACGATTCTCTCCTGGCTCTAGCTTCGTGTTCGTGTGCAAACAGGCTTAACAGTCTTAACACAAGCAAGCCAAGACAAGAGGCTATGCCCATCTCCCATTGCCGCATCCGAGAGCAGGCGCTTATGACCGAGTTCCAGCTGATGGTATCAACCTGGACCTGCAAGCTGCTCCTTGGTTCCAACCCCAGCCGCCCAAAGCACCATCACACGTGCAGCTGCACTCGACTGTGGTCTGTCAGAATCTGCCAAGATGGAAATGAACGAAGACCAGTCCAAGCCCAAGCTTCGCCATGTTCAGCAAAGAAAGGGATAGCTGCCACTTGCCAGAGCGAGCACAGGCGCTTAGAGTCGAGTTTATGGAGGTAGACGTCGGTCTCAAACCTTCCCGGGAAGACTGCCAAAGAAGCAGCATGGCCTTGGATCCATGCCACACAGAGCTTAAAAGTATTCCTGAAACATGTAACATGGGCTTGAATGGGTTTAACCGATGGCCAGTCTACGGGAACCATGTGCTTCACCTCTCTGAACATGCAGGCAACTGCCAAGTCTGCTGCTTGGCACGCGCTCTTCCAGAACTCTTCATCACGATACGCAAAACAAATGAAGTTAGCCCCCGGAACATGCTGCCACTGGCTCGCCCTCTCCATGGCCGTTATTGCCTCAGAAAGTTTGCCGATTGTTAACTTGCAAGATCATCTCCTGGTTGGTTTCATTTCTTCAGGATCACTAACAGCAGCAGCACATCAGCAACCAGGGCGCTGCATTGAACGTCACAATGCTGACCTCCTGACCTTCACGTAGACGTGGACCATCTTGAATCAAAGACAAGGCCTGCCAACGGCTTTTGCTTGGCCTCACAGCCAAACCCAGCATCTGCCGAACCTTCTGCCACTGGGATCCTCGTTCTGCAGCCGCTACCAGGGTACCTCCGGTGGGCCGGGTGGGGTTGGGGGGGGCCTCTTGGCCCTCTCTCAGAGCTCGAACACCAGCCTGATGTCCTCGAGGATGCGCACAAGCGTCGATGCCTCAGATTTCTCGGCTTCGTGGAGTATTGCTGCAAGTTCTCACTCTTAGTTTCAGCTAGCCTTCCTGTCTGGCCGAGTCTCGGAATGGCCTCAAGTATGGCAGTTGAACTTTCCCAGCGCGACCCTTTGCTGCAGGCATCTGCTGCAGAGTTGAAGCCTTGCACGTGAGTCTGCAAAGCATATAAAACGTGAGATTCGAGATGCTTGAATCCAGACGGAAGACACAGACCTCTATAGCCCTTCGGCCCTCAGGCCGACACTAATTGTCGTAGGCTTGAGATCATCTCCTGCTTTCGGACCTGGCACACATGTAAACAGCTAGCGTCACAAAAGTTGACAAAAGGAGTGCAAAACATGTTCCTTCGCACCTGTGATCTGCAGGGCGCCTTGCCACCGTGCACACTTCGCACCAGCACCCAAGGCCGCATTCTGCAAGGCCACATCCACAACTTGGTCCACACATGGACGGCGCTCCAGGAAAGTTCATGGAAACACAGTCACAGTTGCCTGCCAAGGGGCTAATGTTCGATTGCGCCGCTTGAGCTAGTAAACCCACTGCATCCTCGCAGCATGTCAATCATGCCTTCTAACATTATGCACCCGGCATGCTTTTCCCTCTGCGCCGCCCGACTGAAACCGAAGGAGTAACCTTTGCCTAACACTTTCAATGTTTCCTTCCAAAGATGGCCACGGTTGCAGGTTGCTGCGGCGGCGCTCAGCACAAAGGCGTCGAGCTCGAGCTCCCCTGAAGACCGATGCAAATACTAAAGTACTAAATTATTAAATTATTATAGATATCATATTGTTAAACATAAATATCTAAATCTAAATATTGAGTTATCAAATAGTGAAGTATTAAATGGCCACAGCAAGACTTGCCACTCTCTGGCCTCCGTAACGGAGCCAGGCGGCCCAGGCATGCTGCCAAAGGCTCTGGCGATTCGCTGCCGAGATGCTGGCAGTGAGCTGGCGAAGCCCTGAAAGGAGGGAAGCATGGGAAGGGCAAAATGCACAGGAGCTTGAGTAGATCACCCCAAGCTGACCTGCAAATGGTTGCATCAGCCATGGCCCACTCTCGGACGGAAGCGGATGAAAGCGAAGCTATCCCACCGTGCGGCTGCGCTCTGGAGTCCCAAAAGTATATGCTGCATATGCCGTGTTCTTGTTTGCTCACACGCTCCGGCTCACACCCTCCGCCGACTTGGGCCAAGCAAATGTGCTGGTAACAGCCCCAGGGCCCCTGCATTTAGAGTCCTGCGAGCGCTCGGGCAACAGCCACCTGAACGAGCCATCAAAATCGTGCTTGAATGCATGAGGACATTTTTCGTATGGTCGAAAATTGTGACTCCGGCCGGCTCACCTAACGCCGAGTTTCCGCGACCTTGGCTGGAAGCCATCAGGAGCCCTGGAGGCAGTACAACATCTCCCAATCTGGCGACCGAAGGCTTCTGCTGCCTTTTTGAGCAATGCGTGGTGAATCTGTACAAAGTGCGATGTGGACATATCGTACGGATCGCTGTCCAACTCCCAGCTTGTTTAAGAACTCCTGCCAGGCAAAACATCAAAAACCTTCACACTGGTTTTTACACATTCACGGAGCAGGAGAAGAGAGAGAGAGAGAGAGAGAGCGCTCTTTGCCTGCCTGCCTGCCTAAATACGTACAATTTTGCCTCCTGCATGGCTGGGCGAGTCTCGAAGCAGGGTTACTGTACGTATATACGCACGTACATACATACATACATACTTACATACATACATACATACATACATACATACAACAATTACATACAACAATTACATAGATTATGCCGTGAGCTGGGAAAGTTGGGCTGGCCATCCGAATCAACCGGGAAGTGCCGGTAGGGAATCAATCAATTACCACTAAATCTGGAGAGGATGCTGTACAGTAGCATCCCTGCAGCTTGATACTGTTGCCACTGGGCTCCATTGCTGCCGAGCTCTGCTCGGGCGAAGCCCAGTGACGCGGACTTCCTGACATGCAAGCTTAGGCTTGCCGCCACCACCAATATTTTTGTACCAGTCACTGTCACTGCCTAGGGCTCCAACAGCGAAGTCTGGGCAGCCAAACTACTGATCCTGAAGTATGTTGACAGAGAAGCCTGCAGGCTATTGCAGGCTAACAGACACAAAATTGCTGCCCCTTCGCTTTGGTATGGCCCCCAGCTTGCTGGAGTCTTCTTGCTATGCTATGCACACCCACGAGCTCATCGATGGAACAGCCAGGGCCACCCGGGAACAAACCGCTGCAGAAACTACAACTAAATTTCATGAAGCCCAGCACTCACCTGGCTGCTCTACAAGGCGATGATGCACGGGGATTGACGAACTCGCCTCATTCGGCCACTGCGGAGTGGCTGGACCACATCATGCGGACCATGGGGCGCTGCAGCTTCAGAGTGCGTCAGCCGAGAAATCGCGCTTCCAGGAGCATTGTACAAGCGGTGCACTGTGCGAAAGGAAAGCCGGGCGGACAAGTGTTCGGGAACCTCATGAACGAGGGAAGAAAAGTCCACGAAACTCGTCATAGGCTGTACCTCGGAGGCCAAAGAGCACGCGATATCCTTGCGCTCTTTCCACGTTGCTTGTCCTGCAACGTCCTGCTTGCATATTGGACACAGGTGGTTCCGAGCCAGCCACTTATCCACACATTCTCTGTGAAAAGTGTGAACACAGCGCAAGACCCGCACCAAGTCGCCATCTCGGAAGTCCTCTAAGCAAACAGCACACGTTTCCTCACACCGACCGCGGCCATCACATTCGGGTCCATTGTCGGGCCCAAGCCCTGTGTAGGTGCGGCACACCGTGTGCTTGGAAATCTCCAGCTCCGAACATCCTTCAGGAACTGACGCTTCCGCCTCCGAATCCTCGTCATCGGAAGACGGCAGAGGGACTTCCGGATGAAAGACGTGCACATCGGACAAGTCCGGGTCCATCCTGAGTCGCCTGGGCAGCGGAAAGGCTGTGATGCCATCCATTGCCGCGGACAAACCCCTCTTCCCTATTGTGCTAGGCAGGCGAATGGATGACGCCGACATCTCATGTAGATTTTTGTAGATGTCGCATGTGTGTCCGGTTCTCGCGACTCACTACAATCAGTTCAAGTGCCCTGCCGTCTCGGAGGCGAAATGCCAGGAGCGGAGGCTGCATCACTGCAAGGCTCTGCGTGTGTTGTGACGGACCCTGCCGCTGACTCAGGACTCACTCATGACTAGTGACGAGCAGCTTGCCTGGATCCGCAAATTGTCGACCTGGGTCGGAGATACCATGCGGCACGTGGTTGAACCCAGAACAGGTGCTAAATTTCAAGACTCCAAGAGCTTCGAAGTCAAAACAGGAGCGTCGGCGACCTTACAACCACTCCTGGTCACAGCATCACAACTATGTGATATTTCTTGCATACACTCGGCATGCAGTTGGAAGCAGTGGGGTTGCAGTGATCTGTTCTTGATATGCGACGTACGGGTACTAGTACAGCAAACCTAAAATGCAAGCCACTTCCAATTTCGATCTAATTTCGATCATCGAAGAGATTTGTCAGAGGGCGGCGAACCACCTGCCCTGTGAGCACACGCACTGTTTCCGCTTCATTGGCGTGGGAGTCGTCCTGCAATCCAAGAGGTGCAGTTGATCTCGGCCGCTGCATAGGTGAAAAATCACCCTATTGCTTGTTGAGCGGAGCCTACGGAGCTAGTCAGTACTGCTGGAACTTGAGCTCGAATAGGAGCTGGAACCGTCTGTGTCGCTGGATCTGGCACTGCTTGGGCTCGAAGGCGAAGGTGCAGCTTGGGCTCGGGCTAACATGCCCGGCTGGCCTCCTAGTCCTAGGCGCCGCCAGCCACCAGCAACGACCGTGCTTAAAGCACTCGGTGCCGAAACTCGACCGACCCGACTTTCCTGGCATCGTGCCCACCGGTTGTCACTGCTGGGAGCACTGTAAGCAGTTCCGTGCAGCACTTGGGTGACACGGTCGTGGTGCAGGCGCTGGAGAACAGAGGCAGTGCTCGCATACATGGCAGCCAATGCAAAGTGCCCTGATTCAAACCGATGCACAGTCTGCACGAGACGTGGCCGTGTTGAGTGCGCCGTCCCTGCAGGCAGTGGCCGTCGGAGTCGGTGCTGTGCTGGTGCCGACACTTCCAGTGCAGATCGCCTCACGCGCCGCGGGGTGGGGGGTGTGTTTCCTGGCTCGTCTACCAGAAAATCACTGCTGGTGAAGTCTGAGTCCGAGGAGGCCGCAGCTTCAGTTGCCATTGTCCACGGAGAGCCTGTGATGTCCTGCTTGCAAATCGGGCAGAGCCGGCTGCCCTCCAGCCATTTGTCCACGCAGCTTTGGTGGAAAGTGTGAAAGCAGCGCAGCGACCGCATGCAATCGCCGTCTTTAAAGTTCTCCAAGCAGATCACACATCGACCGTGACGGTCTGCCGGCCCCACACGATCAGCCCGACTGCAGAAAGTGTGAGACACTGTATTCGCAGCCACTACACATTTGGGATAACTCCCGGTCCACGACTGTTGGAAGAAAAGGTCTTCGTCGTAGGGCATAAATGGCTCGAATTCGTACTCGTTCCCGAAAACGTACCTGTCGTATTCGTCGGGGTCTTGCACCGGTAATGCCCTCATACGTAAGCTCCTCGGCAGCATGGCAATGTGCGAAGACATAAAGCGCCCCAGCAGGCACAAGGACAGTGTCAAGAGAAGACTGCGAACGAAAGCTCTGCTTGCTGTCAGTTGCGATTTGCTACATGCCCTGATGTAGTCGCTGATCTGCTCGGCATGCATGTGGTGCCGATATGTTCCGTGGCTGAGGGAATGGGGTCACCGGGCTGCGCAGGCTGCATCAGACAATCCTCATGTGCAATTGGACTTGCATCGATCCTAGACAAGACCTTATCTCCGAGAACCCTCGAGGTGTCCCTAGACGAGGCGAGATTTGCTAGCTTTCTGACGTATCTGGTCTTCTTCTCAGTCACATTATGAGTTTGCTTGACCTTTGCCTGTGAGCTGGCACACTGACAGATGCCACAACAAGTAATCGAACCCTTATCACCTTATCTGAGTCCGTGCATCAAGTTGTATCACGTGCCGTCCTTTTCTTCACTGGACGGCCTGAAACGCATTGTGAGAACATTCTGCTGCTGATGGACCTGGAGCAAAGAGTGAAACTGAACTGACGACGGCCTTTCTTGACCAACTGGGGCATCTGGTCGCATCAGCGGCTGAGGTCGCTCAATTGAGGCTTGCCGTTCTGGGCAGCGAAAGGCTCTGAGACCAAACGATGCGAAGATCTGAATTTGGCCACGACAGAAGATTGATCATACTTGCAAGGCTGCGGAAGGAACTGGCAAGCCTCAAGTTCAGCTGGCCATGGGTACTTAACTGTACAAAGAGATCCCACTCCGTGTCTATGTGCAAAGTCGTCGCTGACTCGAGGCCAAGGACATGGCTCCTCAGCTCTTATCCGGCGTCGGCATCGGCCAGCTGGCTCGCGCCAGCAGCCTCCTGAAAAGCTTTGAGTGGAGATCATGGGCACGATTGCTGATGCCAGTCATCAGTATGTTGAAGTATCCCCTATGCCATGCATAGTCTTTCTATTAATTCTGACTACAGTACAGTCTTGTGAATTTCATCGTCGTACTTAGCTTAAGTCACGATCACGAGCATGCTGCAGTTGCTAATGTATAGCTACTGCGCGGGTCGCTCGTCTCTGAGTAAGTGATCCCGACCTTGCGCAGGCTCTGCAGCAGCGTCTCGTTGAGACCACTGCCAAATGGCCTGGGCGCCTCGGCAGTGACATAGCGAAATAGTCTTCAGTAGAAACCCAACACTGATTCACTAATTGCTTGTACACTGTCTCCCTGCAGCTTCGAGAAAATAACTCCGAGGCGGACTTGAATCTTCAAATCGTTGGATATTGAAGATCAACCGGACACACGCACAAAAACGTGCTCATGATCACTGAACCATTGAAAATCACAGCTCCATTGTCCAACCGGGCAACGAGGAAGAAAGCTGCACGCTGCAGGATGTTCCCTGCCTCGGCAGCGAATGGCTGCAAGGGGTCTCGCTGACTCAGCAGAACCACGCAAAATGCGTTGGGAGTGGGCCATGGCGGCCAGCCATGGATTCAGGCAAGTTACGATAGCGCTGGAATCGCCCAGAAGCAGCCTCCGAGCGCCAGTGAAACGCTGTGCCCCGCATAGGTCCTAGCTGCCAAGACTCTTGGCCTGAAAGCGCCCAGCGAATCTTCTGCTGCTGCTCCGGTGAGCAGATTTCCTGGATGCGGAGGCCGGGAAGGAATGTAGCAAGCATCTTGAAGGGGTTGAGTCAAATGCCATGTCAAGGACTCAATTGAACCTGTGTAGACGAGACACGCTCAAAAGCCAGCTCTGCGTAAGCGAGGAAAACCTTGGAGGCCGCCAGGGCTGCAATAAAGGCGAGTCACAAAACCACGCAAGACTGCAGCCGGGCAGCTGCAAAGGGAGCACCTCGGAAAGTCAGACACGTGAGCATCTGCCGCTTCCTCTCTCCCCAAGGCTGCGTCTCACTAGCCCTGAAGTGGCCTGCGAAAACCCACGCTCGACAATGCTACACAAATCACAATTGACGTGCGCCCTTTCACCCCCCAAACCAACCTGATTCTCCCAGGCACAGACTCCTTCGATAAGGAAGAAATCCCAAAGCCTGCAGATGCTCTCCTCGGTGCCAAGAAGCATGTGACTTAACATCAAGGCGCGACGCCAACGACTAACTCTGCCGGCAGCACTACCTGTATCTATTCCCTATTGGGATATCACTCTTGACAAATCTTGGCTCAGGCTCGATGGGCTTCAGCTCCCGCGAGAACAAGGTCAGCAGCGGCTCTGTGGCGATCCAAATGAGAGGCAGATCCACCTGCAACGTACAATCAAGCCTGTCTGCACCAAGGATATGCTATCCGCGTAGGTCCAGGTGCACAGGTTAACGGCTAGCATATATAGCTTGCTTCATCATGTTTTTCAATACACGGTTCTGGGCGCGAACATCAGTGGCGACATCTTCCTGCTGCCGTCTTCAATGCAGTGCTGACTGACAGTCGCCACAAACCTGAAGACATAACATTAACCACTGCGCCACCTCTGCAAATCTCGCGTGGATTTTGGGTAGCAAGTGAAGCCTGATGCAACATTCGCTGCACAAACACAAAGACTCGCCAACAACATGCTCATTACAGCTCCGATGCAGCAGTCCAAAGCTTGTAGATGCCAGAGTCTAGAGTTATAGCAGCCTGCTGGCCACAATGCTGGCCGAAAGGGGTTCACGAGACCCTCAGACTCAGCCCGGTGCAATAGAGCATCCAGAACTGCTATGTCGCGCAGGAGGCCACTCATCGACTCCACGTAGTATCCTGTTTGTGCCGATTTTTCTTGGAGGATGAAGAAATGAAGCCGACAGACTTTTTGAAATCCAATCTGCAGATCGACTGTCACGTGCTGCCAAGGCTCCGCTGCAGAACGCATCCTGAGTATCCAGAGTCTCGCACGCACAAACGTTTGACACACTGTGTAGCCATGTCTCGAGTCAATCGTCTAAAGTCAGATCAAACCACGTGTGAGAATCAGTTCGCTTCATTTGGGGCTTACGGCTTAGCCCCATCAACATAGGTGGCATACCAGCTATGCGCAAAGGCATCCAAGGACTGCCCGCACGTATGTCTACACTGCACTTGGCTGGTAGTGTCTTCGTTCATGGGAGACCAGCACGTGCACTCACATCCCCTGCTGAAGCAAGCTCAAGTTGCACGAAGCCCTTCAGAACCGAATTGGACGCCGACAGACAGACAGAGGCAGACACGCACACCCGCGTGCGCTGTGAGACGGCTGAGCTGCCAGCAGCATCTCGCCAGGAGGAACTCTGTCGGAGTTTACTGCTGCGATGTGACCTACCTGTTTTGATTGCACCTGCTCCCAAATTCGCCTCTGCTCCGGTCCACTTATGCTTTGCATGCGAAGGCCCAACTGAGGCCTGCTCCCCCCAGCGGCAACATTGGAACCTTCCGGCAGTTGTCCGGCAACCCCTGCCCCTCCCTTGCCATCCATTCGTTTACTCGGCATCTAATCTTGCACTTCCAGAATTCGGCAACACAGCCCTCCACTACGGTGGTCGATTTCACGAGCGAAGCTACCGTGAACCCTGAAATTCTCCGTGTGGACTAACATATCTCGATGTGTAAGGGTACGGTGTAAGGAAGGTTGAACCTCCTGACGTTTCGGCCAAAGGATGCCGGCGGTAGTCACGCAGCTGCAAACAAAAACACAAGAGACGGAGGTCCTTTTAATTTACTGATGGGATTGAAGTCGAGCCAAACCCCCTCTGGATGCAAGAGTCTGTAAGCGCACGAAGGCCACCCAGCGCTTGCTTCTCCGTAAACCCCACCAGCAGTTCGACCGCGGCCACGAAGTTCAGACCTAGAGATCGTGGCAAGGCACTGGCATGCTGAAAGTGGTGGACACCGGAATGCTCGAGGAACAGCTGCTCAAGAATGTGCATGAGGGAAACCAGTGTGCCTGCTGAGTGCTTGAGAAGCTACACAGTCCAAATTTCTTTGCTTGCACACCTTGCGCTGCTCTTCAATCTTATTGTTCGTGCTCGTAGGTCTCCCTACCGTCCGTGTTTCTGATAAAGTTATTCTATGGTTTCCATGCCGCAGCCTGCAGAAAGCCTTTTGTGAAATGAGGAGGGTGTGGTAACTTGAGGCTCCGCAAAATCCATCCGGCGATACGGTAAGTACGCTCCATGTAGAGTTAACTGCTGGGTTGGGGTTGCCGCTGCAATCTCCCCGTGACATCTAACCTCCTCCGACTTCAAAGTGCTGCTACGGAGTTTCGGCGGATGCCGGAGCTACTTGCAATAAATGACCACTGCTGGACCGAATGCAACAGAGAGGCCTTGACAGTATCCCACCTGCCAAGCCGGAAGGAGCCAAAACAGAAAGAGAGTTGAAAGAAGTTGAAAGCCTCCAAACATACGGCACTTCAGTCGAGAAGTAAAGAGCTCATTCACACTTGAGGCCAGTGCTATTGCTTTGTGTCGCTTTGTCAATTGATAGATTTGGAAAACCCCTCGCTCTCCAGGCCTGTGGCCGGAGCAGTGCAAAGGCGCGCAATACGCCTCACGCGAGCACATGTGTCTAAACGGGATTCACATTTAATTGCAAATTTAACTCTGCATCTGCGAGGAGCCTTTGCCAATCTACGCGAAAATCTGCATTGTAGACCCCGCACACGTCAGAATGGTGCAACCAACCTTTCATTCATTGACTGTTGCTATGTTTCGGCACCAAGAGCAAGCATCTGTCCAAAGATCTTTTGGGTGAGGAGGGATTCATGATCGATATAACCGACACGCCAAATCACCCGATACAATACACCCACCTAAGTCAACGATCATCAACGATTCCCATCGCTTGCCAAGCTGATTAGCTCCATGAAGTCCTCATCACAGTCTAATCCCCAGTCACCAGTAGGGAGGCGTAACTAAGATACAGCATAAAACACCGTGTCAAAGCAAATGACGCAGCGGGTTCTCTCAGGAAAGTCTGTGACTGCGGCTGCCAGAGCACTCCAAAGACTCTACACTCGTGCTAGCTGCTAGCATATGGATTGAAACCAGACTGGTGCGACCGCATGTGGGAGAAAGCCAAACCATGTAGAAGCAACTTCTCCCATATCACTGAACCCAAACACAAGAGATCAGAAAAAAGCTTGGCTTGGATACCCCTATCACGCCTGAACTCTCATGATCCTGTCATGCTCACTTTAGTGGCAGTTGTTATTGCTGTTTTTGTATTTACTTGTACCTGAATTGCATTTTGCAACTGTTATCGTTATTGGTGTTGTTGCGGCTGTTGTTGTTGTTGCTGCTATTGCTGCTGGTGTTGTTGTTGTTGTTGTTGCTGTTGTCGCTGTTGCTGTTGCTGCTGCTCTTGTTGTTGCCGCTGCTGTTGCTGCTGTTGCTGCTGTTGCTGTTGTTGCTGTTGTTGCCGTTGTTGCTGTTGCGGTTGCGGTTGCGGTCGCGGTCGCGGTTGCTGTTGCTGTTGCTCGTGCTGGTGGTGACGGCGGTGTGGACATTGTTGTTTTGAGTGTTTCTGTTACTGTTCTCGTTGTGGTTTCGTTTCTTGTACTGTAGTTGTTGCTGCTGCTGCTGCCGCTGCTGCTGCTGCTGCTGCTGCTGCTGCTGCTTGTACTTGCTTCTCTGCTTGCTGTTGGCTTTCTGCTTTTTGCTGCTGTTGCTGTTGTTGTTGCTGTTGTTGCTGTTGTTGCTGTTGGGTTTGTCTTGGCATTTGGGACTCAGGACTGGGCCATAAGCAAGCACGGTACGATGGAGAACTGTCGATTTGGTCTTGCGACCCAGTGGCGACCAAGTGCCTCCCGCTGGTTCTGGTTTAGATCGGTGGGCCGTGTCCTGGAAAGAGCTCTGGAGATCTCTGGAGTACTAACGACTCCGGTAAACAAAGCAGGGTACGTCACCATCCCACCAGGGCTTGTCATTAGCCTGGCCCAACTGCTTCGAGACTCGCTCCTGCCTTCCTATGCGTGCAACAGGAGAGGAAGGCAGAGGTTCTTCTTGCTGGAGTTGTGCCCAATGGTGCATCAGGCAATTTTGCGGAAAGCTGCTCGCAACTTGACCCTAAGCTATGGTGCGCCGTTGGAACTCAACGAGCCGCAACTCACACAACAAGAAATCATGTCACTCGCAGGAGAGGGAGAGTAGGGGTATCGCCGCACTCAACCAATCTCTACCCCCGACACTTCCAAACCGATGCCGAAATTAAAGGCATGAATGGGTGCCGTTCGGCAAGGACCTTGACACGCAGCTGCCAACATACTGACAGCATGAAACTGCAAGCGATCTACATCAAGTGTCTTGTTCACGAACCGTCTTGACGCATCCGAGTTGTCAGCCAGAGTCAGACTCTACAACCGAATGGTATGAAGCCTCTCCTGATCCGACTCCAGACAGCCATGCTAACTTTTGCTTCAAGCTATGTCAAGCTCAATAGCCCAAGTGAAGCTCTGCTACGCTGCGACGCGCTAGCCCGTGGGAAAGGCTTGCAGGAATTCCACTGGAGCGCCCGAATCGCCAACTCCACTCGCAAAACGATTCGGCTCCATAGTACAGCTGTTTCCCCCGACAGCACCCTGCCGCAAGCCGCAGCGTTCGCCAGAACGCGGTTTTGTGGGTCTGGCCTCGGCACGTCCTTCTCGATCTGCTTTTGGCAAGTTTCGTCAGCGCACAGCATGCCTGCCAGACATCGCAGCAGCAGGCAGAACTCCTACCTTCTCCACGGAGAGCGCGCCGTCATCCAGCGGCTCACTGCCCTCTTCCGCCACGTGAAGCCAGGTGGGCCAAAGTGCCAGCCTCGCAGGGGCATATTTACAGCCAAACACAGTTCGCAGCCTCAAGACAGAACTCATGTTGCCGGCCTGTACTGCCAGGGTATTCGGTGCCCAAGTATGAACAGAGCTCGCAGTTCGCTCCGCGTTAGCTCTGCAGGCGAACGATCACCCAGCACTTTCTTCCTCAGCTGTGTAGACTCAAGCCCAAAACTCTGATCCGAAGCGCTCAAAAAAAGGAGCAACTGGCATTAGTCTTCATACGTGCAGAGCAGCCATCTGGCAGAGAGCTCTGCTTCGCCGTCTAAGCGGTCCCCGCCATTCAGGGGCAGTGGCGCATCCCAGCCTGCAACAGCAAAAATAATCTGCGGAAAGTTTTTTCACGGCATGAGATCTTTATGCTCATCTCATGTCTCGCCGTCGCCTGCAGCCAGGTTCGGGTCTGGCTTGATGCCAAGCCTGAGGCCAAGGACGGGAAAAAGCCCCCAACTGCAGCAAACCGAGCGCTGAGGCTCCCACAGAGCTGGCGAGTTCAGAACTTCCCAAACCCCGGCTGTTGCGTCTTTCCAAAATGCGGAAAGAGATAAGCCTGCCATCTTCTTTCAGCGAAGCAATCAGCAAGCACCTCTCTGTAATCCTGCCCCCTCTTTCTCTGATTAGCCGACGTATGTTGATTGAAGTGAAGAGTACATGGAAGGTCCCACTCGGTCGCCGCGCGCCTGTGCAGCTTGCGCCCACCTGCCGAGTTTGCCCACCGCAGCCAAGCTCTCGCCCTGTCTGTTCTCTTCCTTCCGCTTTGCAGAGGCGGAACTGGGCCTCGGAGGAGGTGCGAAGACGCGAAGGCAGCGAGGGCGACGAAGGCGCCACGAGGGCAGAGCCAGCACGCCTCAGTCTCAGCGCCTTCTCCGAGATCTTCTTTGGGGCATGTCTTGCCACTACTGAAGTCGTCCAGACTGCCATCGCTTCAGCGCCATCAAGATGTCCGGCGATGTCAAAGTCGCAACAGCAGCACGCGCTCGTGCGGCAACCTGCGCGAGCACAACTCCAGAGCAGTTTCACATGCCGTGCGTCACCACATCAAGCATCAAGCTTCCATCTCAGCCGAGTTGCCCAAGTTGGGAGCTCCAGATCTTTCTCCAGGGGTGGAACACCAAAGCCTGCACACCGGCGAAGCGCTTCTGTGCAACTGTGGTATGCCCCAACCTGAGACCACACCTTATGGTGGGGGCTTCTGTAAGGCCTATACCTGCCGCTACCCCTTTGTGCTCACGTTGCAAAGAATAGATCGAGCCTTACCATTAGGGTTATGACCGTATAACCGGCAGTTCAAAACTCCCACCGCAGACTTCGGGCCCGAGGGAGCAGGGCAAGGGGAATGGTATGCTGAAATGGAAGGCACGAAAACCTTTTCAATATTTAGTAACGATGAGGGATGCTGACACGAGCTTTTTGCGCGAGGAGGGGCGCTGAAGCTGCCCCAAAGAGCGGCACAGAAGCGCAGCCTGCAGGGGTTTGCGCTTTGGGGCAGTTTCGAAGCTCAGACACTGAGACCATGGACAAAGCATGGCAGCACGGCCTCGACGTCGCCATTGAGCAACACGCATTCCGTACGCAATTCCATGGCCTACAAGCGGCTTGGAAGCTTTGGCACCGCAGTGACTGCCGCGCACGCCAGGGCGTACCTCTGTGAGGTCAAAGAACTCCAGCAATACCGCGAAGTCCACCCAGTTGATACTCAGCCCGGAAGGGTAAGGAATCCTGAAGCGCTTGTGGAAAGCTTTCAAGTCTGGCACTGCAGGCAGCTCAGGCAGCTGAAAGCATTTCATACACAGCTCCATGTAATGTATAACTCTATCTAACTGCTCGTCTTGCATCTGAGCATCTGGGCGTTTGAAGCCACGCTGGCCGACCTGACAGGGATCGGAAGCTCTCTCGGACCAGCCGAATCGCTCCGAAGGTCACGCTGCATGTCTCCAGTATCTCGACCCAGGCCTCAGGTAGCCCAGGCAGATCTTTACCGGAGGCGTGCCCGTCCCCAGCGTCTGCAGCTCAAGCTGATCTTGGCCAATTCCTTGTTGATATTGCAACGTTGTAGTGCACACTGCACTTGCGCTAGCTTCGCTTTGCACCTACGGCCCTACGGCCTGTGCGGTGCCAGGGATGCGATCCACGACAGCAATCACGGAGCTAGTGTGGGACGCCTACAGACGGCCAGCTCATGATTCCCTGCTCGGAGGCATTGATGAGGTGACGACATTTTTGCCTACCAGAACAGGGCGAGGCAATGATCCGAACTGTAGGTCGGGTTCCAGACGTCACGTTTCACCTTGGCATCGCCTTTTATCGAGAATCGTAGACAGTTACCTTGTTTTTGCAGTCGTGGCCGGCTAGTAGTCGATGAATGCAATCTTCGCACAGTACGTGCCAGAAGGACGTTGAGCCAAGTGTCGCAGCCGTGCATCCACGAAGGTTTCGTGTGCAGGCAGCCATGCCATACCTCCAGCTTTGCGGCAGCATCACAGTCAGGCCATCGATGCACAAGCTTATAGGCAGTGCTACGTGCTACTTGAGAACAGGGCTATGCAAGCCACGCCACAAGACTGCAACAACGTTGCTGCTGCCACGTGACGTGTTCGCAACAGCAACTTCACCATCATGCTACCGTACAGAAACAACAGTCAGGAATGCGATACCCAAATCCGCGCTGTCGCTCGGAGACGCAGGAGGCTAAATAGTGACATGATGCTATAGCCTACTCCTGGAATCACATCCCCACTCGCCAAAAAACGAAAGCAGAGTCGACAGGGCACCATGGATGCAAGCATGTGAGGCTTAAGCCTGCAAAATTCTGGCATTAATTATATGCTCCTTGACGCTGGCCCACATAGAGACACAGATACACTGTTGTCATATCGTAGTGCTTTGACCGACCTCATTTCGCGTCGGAGTGTGCCCGCATCAGCAATAACTCGGTCATCTACGCGCAATTTCGATCTGTTCTGGTTGGACGTGCACCTGGCGGGTAGACGCACTCGGCCACGTAAGCACAAAGCGCAAGTTGCCATGTTGCTTAAATAAGTGAGCCTTGACGGGACCTTGAGGGTTTAGTCCTTGTGGCTCTAAATCAATCATTTGCGTGGTGGAGCGCGGGGGAGCCACCCCCCCCCCCCCCCACCCCCCTTTTAACTATTGTGAACGGACCAGACAAGGTCCTGCATGCAAGTTTGACCTATACTACCTACAAGTGAATGGTAAATGTCAACTCCCGCAAGCTCCACAGAGCTTGCTTTCGTGACTTACTAACCGGATTCTCTGTGCGCGGAAAAAGAAATTCCGGGCCACTCACAGAACCGTGGTTAACCAAGCAGAGCAGCACTGCAGTCCTGGCTCTGCCGCAGTGTGCACGAAGCGACGCACATCCTGAGCATGAAACGCGAGCAAGGGCATCCTGTCCTGTGACTTCTACGACTGTCGGCAAATGCCCTAGGACATAGGGGGCCATGTGCCAACTGCTGATCTATGGTGCAAACACGGATCCTCCTTCATCTATGACTCACCAAAAGCGGGTAGGGACTCCCCAACGATGCCAAGCAGCCGCAGATGCAACGGCTGATTCCTGGCCCTGCATGGCCGCAGCGTCTCCTAAGCTCGCAGCCACTCACCCGGGTCGAGGCACGAGACGCGATAAGGGATCTGACCCTCTCAAGACGATCGCTTTCGAGCCGAGGCTCCGTTACATCATTGCGAAGGCTTTTGGCCACCAAAGGCACCAGACCGCCGGAACATGGCTTGCTCAGGAAGCGGGATGCATCTGCTGCAGCTCTCCTCCCAAAACTTGCCGTGCTTGCTTACCTTTTCTGTGCAGCACCCGGAGTCGCGCGCTGGCTACACAAAACACCTTCGCAGCTAGATGTCATCTGAACTGGGCTGACGAAGGCTTTGGATGCTCGTAGACTTGAAGCACGTCGCGCCGCGGTTGAGCAGTAGGCATCGGCTTGCACTGCTTCAATGGTTCAAAGCTGGACATCTTGCCCAAAGAGTCGGTGGCCGGCTCGAACACGCGGTTGTCTTCCCTGTGAATTGACATGCGCTCTGCATCTGAGGCTTTGGCAACAACGGAAAGCATGTCGCGCAGCCTGACCGCTCAAATCACGGAATTCAAGGACCACGAGACTCACGAGAGGCCTAAAGGATGGGTGGCAACAATCATTCAGCAGCAAGAAGCAGTAAAAACTCAGATCTGCAGGACATGCAGGAGGATCTGTGGCAACATCCGCTCTCCGACCAAGAAGCCTAACAGGCAATGCAAGTTGTTGAGGCACGGTATTGTTTTGCACCTGTTGAATGCTGCCGCATGTTCCGGAGAGTCGGCACCCAACTGCATGGGGTCCTGGGGAAACCAGCCAAGTGATTGAGCGACGCCGATCGGGTTCCACAAAAGCAAGTGTGCGTCCCGCCGGCTGTACACCTCAAACCTCTTGAAATGCTGCGAAACATTGAGAAACTGTACAACAAATCTAAGCACACACACCGCGATCCCTATACACGTCCATGGCACACACACACACACTACGGATCAGTGAAACAGCCGGGCGCAATGTTGTGGCGAGCCCTTTCAGATGAAGGGCGAAACCTTCCTCACAACCTCGGTGACAAGAAAGCCTTGCAAAGTGGATACCATGGGACCCGAGCCTGCAACGGAAGTCTGATGTTTTTCAAGCTCAGCAGGCTCCAGGGCCGGACAACACGTCTAGCCAAGCGACGCCTCGTCCCTGGCTGTAGTGGTACATTGTCGTGTACCCCAGGTGGAAGGGAAGCCACATGTACTGCAACAGCCTGCCGAGAACCTGAACTTCATTCAGCCGGGGGAAAGACCAAAAAGTAAGACTTGCTTCTCCAGGCCTTGTGAGTGTCGATGGACTTCTTGGCGAGTCGTTCGTTGCTCCGATCATCTTCTTCCTTCCCTGCCTGTTCGCATCCTTGCTGGGGCAGCCAGTGCTACTGCATCGTGATGACACGACATGGGCCTAGCATGCTGCACGCAAAACTTTCAAGATCACAATCACAGCGCCTGGAGCCCACTTCAGGAAATACTCGTTCGCGATGCCAGACACGGGAAGCAACAAAGCCAAGGCATAGAAGGCCCGAAGACTCTGGGTCTCGATCATCTGCACAATGGGGTGGCCGGGGAAACGTGGCGGGATGCCGCTGCGGAGTCGGAAGAAGGCACGAAAAAAGAGAGCCACTAGCATGGCAATGCCCGTCTGCTTGTGCCACCAAAGCAGCTGCTTTCGGTTTTGCCCTTCTGCTCTGGAGGCTGCTTGTGCTGTTCCTACTGCACCGAAAATGCCCACAGCCATGATGAGGTGCAGGTGTCGCAAAGCGCGGCTGTAGGTGAACTGTGAAAGCGCCTTTCGGTTCTGAAGGGTCTTGTAGAGATACCAGCCGACAGCGGCGATGACGGCGTCGAAGGCTTTGTGCTTCATGTAGCGCAGGGCATCTCTCCCAGGCGCCTCGCTCACCGGGGCAACGGCCGACGCAGCGTTCCAGTCGGCACTTTCTGCCGGGACCAGCTGGCCAACGAGCATGTCACGATCGCGCTGGACTCGCGCCTTTTCGGAATGTTCGAAGACCTCGAAGTCCTTGGTGACATCAGTGCCTGCCTTCGAGAGCAAGATGTCGTCGCCCCCGGGGTGGCTACCGAGGAGCGACGTCACGTTGTAGACACGATTGTGGATTATCATGAAGGGCTCTGCTGCCGTAGTGTGCTTCGCGACCTCTGCACGCGAGAAGAAGGGTAAGTCGCGACCTGCTGAAATTTCAAGAAGCTTCGGGAACCGGGACTCCTCTCCCAATGTTGGAACGTCCTTGCTAGGGGCCCTCCCTTGAGCCGCAGACCTGGCTGCCTCAATGTCTTCCTTCGACGGGCCTTCGAGCTTTCGCAGCTCATCTTGCAACTGGCGCAACTGCTCAATGGTGGGATCAACCACGGGCTCATCACCAATGTCTCCCATCCGCGACTCTGGGCGCATGTAAAATTCCATCCAGTTGGCACTCGGAAACCGGCCAGGAATCTTGTTCCACATCGGCGTGGCATCGCGGCCAGCCCATGCCAGAATGGCATTTCGCTGCTCCGGGTGGTGCAGGAGGAATTCGGTCAAGTCGTACACGGCACCATTCAGGGCCACCCAACAGTCATGTGGCTTGTTGTGATGGGCCACTTCCGACAGCGGAATGCCGCCTCCGAGGTTCTTTCCAGACAAAGGTACAGAATGAAGATGCGCGTGATCATCCTCTGAAAGAAGTGCCACCATGGACTGCTTGATCTCCGCGGCCTTGATGTAATCCTCCGCATCCAAAGCTACGCGCTTCTGTGTCTCCAGCCGTTGAAGTTTGCTCTTCAGCACTGGGTCCAGGCTCTTGTCCTGCAGCAGACGTTGGATGCTGTCTGCCTTGCTGCCCGGACCGGAGACTTGGCTCAGCACGCGCTCAAGCTCTTCCCTCAGTTCTACGACACGCGCTTCTCGAAGTGTGTGCCAGAAAGACTCGGACATCAGATTATCGTCGACGCCCAAACTGCCCAAGAAGGATTCCGGCCTCAAGTACTGCTCAATTTTCACTCCTTTGTGGATGTCATTGAAAAACTTGCTGGCGTCCTTTCCTGCCCAGGCCAGAATCGTGGTAGGGCCACCCGGATGGCGATCCATGAACTCAGAAAGGTCGTACACTTTGCCATTCAGCGACACCCAGCAATCCTCCGGGATGCAGTGGCGATTGACCTCCGAAAGCGGGATCCCGGATGAAATGGCAGCCGCTGGCGCTTTGTGTAGCAGGCGTTCCTCCCTAGACGGCAAGGGCGCAGGAACACTCTGGAACTCCATGCCTTCGTGGACCATTTTTATGTGGACCTGCAGCTGGGCCTTGTCCGGAAAAGCCTCGGTGCAGTAACCACAGCCTAAGAAGGACTGCACGCGGCCGATGCTTGCCGCCGGATGCTCGTCTGACTGCATGGGAGCCATGGACTTGCGAGAGGCGGCCAGAGGCGGCTGGCACAGAGGAAGGCGGAGTCAATGGGGATAGAGCATCTACTTCTACTCGCCAAAGCTGCGGACACGCAGTGTTGCGGAACAGCGCTGATCTGAGAGCGACATCACATGCGGCAACCGGCCTGAGGCACACAGATGCATGCCTTCACACCTGGCTTTGGGGGGAACATGGCGGAACACTGGGGCACATGGCAGATGCAGGCGACTTGCGAAACCACAACCATATCGGCTCTGGAAGGGTTGCCAAATTATTGCCGCGGGTCAAACTTTGCAATCTTCCGCGCAAGCTTTTCGAGCACAGAAGGGAAGTCGGCAAGAACGTGAATCTTCTCTCTGCCTCTATAAGGTTCTCACTCTCACGTTATTAGTAACGTCTTACATGTCTTGAGACTCTAAAGGCGCTCCCTTCGCGCCAAGACCCAGAATGCCGTCAGCGTGGTGCCGGTCTGCGGGATAGGTGGCATGGATGGCAGAGTAGCAGCCTGCTGTGCACTGTGTGCCACATTGCTATGGGCACGATCGACTTCAAAGCGATGGTGACAGGCCTTTCATGAAAGCCGCTGCTCTTGTGCCAAGCAACCGAAGCAAACGATCCAAGGAAGTACGGTGCAGATGGCAATCGCAGTCCCGAGTGACTCTGCATTTGCTCTTCGGCCGCCTTCCTCGGTGCACGACATAAGGTTGATGGGCTAGCTTGCTCTCAAGGTCCTGAAAGTGCAGTCTAGCGACAGCTCCAGGCTGGTAACCAAGCAGGCCGACGCAGATGTATCCAACCACCGGGCCTTCGCCAGGGATCGTCAGACCGATTTACAGGAAGCCATTCATGCGGAACGCTGATGATGTGCTATCTGATATCTTCTGTACAGGTAAACAAATTCCAAGCACTGTGATGTGTGACTCGTTTGGCGTGGCGCGCCTGCAAAGACTGACCCGAAGGATTGCGCAATGGCAGTCCTGGAGAAGCAAGCTGTGCCAGTAAACTACACAGCGTGAGTTCACGTAACACAATCGGCGGTCCCGCAGATGATAGTATCATCTAGACACACCAGAACACCCAAACTGGCACGGTCCACCAGGCAATGATCTTGCCGCGGCAGTTCGGGGTCACCAGCCTTGGGCTATGTACGAAGCCAGGATGCGTTTCGATTGTCTGTGTGTGTGTGTGTTGCCTCCCCTGTCATTGTCGCCAAAGAACTCGGACCACAAGGGGCGGTCCACTCCGGGGTTGCACCAGGTTGCCTGGGCCACAGCAGCCGCAGATCATGAGCCGAGCAGTGTGAACATGTGCACTGCAAATTGCTGAGTCCCGAACGAGCAGGGAAAAGGTGAACAATGCAGAAGCTAGGCTGAACGGAGAACCTCGGCTGGGTCGACCATGCAAAAAATGTCTTTGGGAATGGACGTCTTCGGTGCCAGCCTTTCCCCTGCCAAGCAACGGCCGGAGTGGGAGTAGCAGCGCAGAACCCAATACCTGAACGGAGCACACAGCAAAAGCTGACTGGCGGTATTGACAGGGTTGCACTGTCACCGCATTTTACAGTGGAGCCAAGTCACAAGGGAGCCATCCCCAGGATAATGGACAACTGCGCAACGAAGGCGCGGCCATGCAGAGGCGACACCCGGGCCATGTAGTCTCCCAAGATGCCTCTCGAATGAGTTGCAAGTCTAACATGACACAAACCCATGTGGAATTTATGCCTAGCATCCATCTGGTTTCAGAGGAGAGCAGCTTGCCAATGCACTGCGGCTGGCGTCGTCTGAACTTGTCTCAACAGCATGCCGCCGTAAGATCCACATCGCGTCAGAGAGCATACCCCTCGTTGCCAGAAACATCTCTTTCCGGATGCAGAAACGGCGGCTTTGAAATTGGCCCCATCCTTTGCTCATGCAGCTGGCCTCCCAACAGGCAACCAAGAATTCGGCCCACCGACATCACCTCGTACGGTGACGTGACGACACATCAATGGCCCTCTGTGCCCTGAGTTCTTTATGCCAGGCACCGCCAAGAGAACTGCTGCACGCGAGGAGTCGAAACCCAGGTCTTCAAGGAACATCATCCTTGGCTAGGCATGGCCAGGCCAGCAGCACGTATCCCACACACCGGCTGAGCAGCCACGCTTGCCATCACTTGCCATCACTTGCCATCCCACACCAAGAGTCATAAAGCTCAACGCATTCCAAGGGATGCAGCCTTGGCTGGAGACGGCAGCAATGGCGGATCGGTCTGCTCAAGAGCCACTTGCGACTGCTTGTCCGCTGCACCAATAATTCGCAGTTAAGTTGCCCACCATGCCGCCCAGCCTCAAACAACGTGAACCGACTGTGTATGACACACTCTCTCACACACACACGTACGTGCCACAAACCTTCGGCAATCGAACAGCTCATCGGAGAACGCACAATGTATACGCACTTCGCCGAGAAGCAGCAGCGCTCTGAAGGTTGGGATGCGGAAGATGGCCCCCAGCTGCTCCATCTCTGTGGCCAGTGCACCTCATCCGTCATCACCGTTTCAAAAGCAAGGTCTGAGCCGAAGACCAAATCACGGAGAACAATTCGTGCCAACTTGCAAACATGGCACCTTCAAGAGTCCTTTCAGTGGGGCGACATTCTGCGGGAAAGGCGAGCAAACAGAGTGCTAGCCTCACTGCCAGCCAGCAGAATCAAATTGAAATCAAGTCGTCAGGCGATACATCTGAAGCTGCCAAGCATCGGAAGCATGTGAAAACTATCGGAAGGCACACCGACGTCAACGACGCGGTCGGGTGCGGGGTAGCCCCGGCGTGAGGTCTAAAAGCTGAACCTCACCTTCTGGTCTCGTGAATAATCATCGAACTCAAGAGGAAGTGCCACGCGCCTCTCTCACTTTTCCTTCGGATCTGCAACGCTCGAGACGGCCCTGTGAGTCGTTGGATTTCAATGGGCCTGCACCGTATGTACATCAGTTGTAAAAGGTTCAGAGCCCAATCCACCTTCGGATACATCCTTGGGTGGAGCGGGTGGGTAAAAGTCTGTGGACAAGGCATTGAGCCACAGGCTGCAAATGCCAATGTCTACATGATTACGTGTGCACAGGTCCCTACCCAACCAACCATTCCTGTGCATCATCATAATCATCGAACTCAAGAGGAAGTGCCACGCGCCTCTCTCACTTTTCCTTCGGATCTGCAACGCTCGAGACGGCCCTGTGAGTCGTTGGATTTCAATGGGCCTGCACCGTATGTACATCAGTTGTAAAAGGTTCAGAGCCCAATCCACCTTCGGATACATCCAATGTACTTTTCCAACGTAGCAGGGTGTCAGGCAAGAGCAAAAGATCGGAAGTACTAAGATCGTGCCACGGGATGCACGGGTGCTCATTCATGCGCCAGTTTTGCAACCGTGTCCACCGATCCTGAAGTCCGTCGCGGGACAACCCGTCGGATGGGTTGTCATCGGACGGCACCCACTCTATCCAGAGTCGACATCCAAGCTTGGCCCACATGAGGTGACATGTGGAAACGATGTGGGCAGTGTCAGCACTGGAGCACGCTCCCTTAGCGACCGCTGCGCAGACAGCTTGGTTATCCACGAACAGAAGAAGATCACGCCCGCGGATGTCATGATCAGCGAAGAACGTGAAGCACTGAAGCACGGCAAGCGCCTCAAGTGGCATGATCTGAGTCTGGCGGTCCTCCAAGCAGGCGAGAACTTCAGCGGGAACTTTCGTTGCTCCAGCTTGGATGAACTTCAGGTCGGGGTGGCACATGATGTATCCCAGTCCAGGGGACTGCATCTCCCCAGGCTCCCAGCTTGCATCAGTGTAGAAAACAATGGGCTGCTGGGGGCTCGGACCCAGGAAGATTCGTCTAGGTTCCACAACTTGGACAAGGCTTTTGTAGAACTTCAAGGCTTTGGTAAGTTCGGGCGAAAGGCTGGTCAAGTCATCCCGATACTGACGCCGCAACAAAGCAGCTTGTCCAGCCCTTCCGCACTTTCCAAACATGCCGCAAGCTGCCCATGTGAGGCGGCCCCGAAGCTTGGCGGCCTCGGCGGCTGTGCACTGGTCTTTATCCAGCATCGCCTGGATGTCGGCACTCAGTGTCTCGCGCAGCCCCACCTTTAGGTTGATCTGAAGGATGTGGTCATCGAGCACCGCTGCAAGATCAAGAAGAATCCCTAGGAAATGTCGTTGGGACGACATAGGTCCTTCTTTACCCTCATCCAAAATCAAACCCAACAAGCGGTGGGCCTCGCAAAGGAATGAGATGCCACTACCACGAGCACAGACAAAATCAAGCACCCCGAAATCATCAAAATAATTGCTAGTGGCAACCGCTGCAATGCGTCGAACGACCGCCGCGGAGAAGCACGGCACACGGTTGAAGTTGAGCACTGCAGCAGACAATCCGAAGGGATGAGCTCGCAGATGCACGTAGCGAACAGCTTTAGCCTCCGGATCGAAGTATGCCACGATTAGGCCCGCCTTCTCCGAGGGCTGGTTCGGCAACTGGCGATAGGCAGCCTTCATGTCCTCGGTGCCAAAATGAGGTTCCGCCCAAGCTGGCAGAAGACCTTCAGTGTCTCGAAGAAGCTTGTTGCACACCTTGCAAATGGCTGCAATAAAATCTGGGCTCGTGGTGTATATGGTCTCTTCGGAGAAACAAGACTTGTTATGTCCACTGAAACGTCCATCGTCAATGGCCCTAAGTTTGTTCAGTTGATCAAGCATGAATCGGCGCATTGGGATCCATTGGCCAACGCCGAAAATGGCGTCAAGTTGTTCTTTACTGAAGGGACCCTGAGCTACACCTTGATCGATTTCGCCGATCGTGAACTCCTTAGCTTCAAGCGCATACGGGAATCTGGGCAAGCACTGCTCCACACTGGCGGTGATGCGCTTCGCATGCTCTCCGAGGAGGGCTGGCAGTCCAAGTTGCGGAGGCGGGTCATCATGGGTCTCACGGAAAATACCCGGATTCTCAATCACCCCA